CCAGTCAAGATCGGTTCAGCCATTTCGCAGAAAAGCCAGAACAAGCAGACAGACAAAAATTTTAAAAATTGTTTCTTTGTTATAAGTATCGTACATAATTTCATGTTACGCATTTAGTAAAAAGCTGTTATTTTGACATTACAGACACTTCAATTTTATTTATGTGTATAGAATTAATATTTTATACAAGGTGGCCCATAAGTCGTTAGAAATGTAAATTTCGAATAAAAGAATCGGAACAGTTCCACCTTTCAACAATATAAGCGAGCACGAAACCGCTTTAATCAGGTGGTAAGAACAGCCAAACGCCGCTACTTCCGTAATAGTATTTCAAACTCCTCTTCTGCAGATATATGGAAGTTCCTTAAATCCCTGGGATTTGGAAAATCGCATTCCAATTCTCTAATCCCAAATATTTCACTCAATGATTTGAATATACACTTCTCTTCTGCATCACGTCTGCATTTGACCACCAAAGCTACGACTCTCCAGGAACTTAATTCCATGCCTTTGTTATCATGTAATTCTTTCGACTTCGGTTCAGTGACTGACGATGATACTAGAAAAGCCATACTTTCAATAAAATCTTCCGCAACCGGATATGATGAGGTGAGTAAACCTATGATACTTCTCATACTCGATATTGTTACTCCAGTTCTCACTCACATCATCAATTTCTCCCTCTCTACTGGTATTTTCCCTAAGTTATAGCTAAAAGCTTTTATCTTGCCTCTTGCGAAGGTACCCAATCCATCCCTACTCTCTCATTTTAGACCTATTTCTATACTGCCGTTTCTTTCCAAAGCCCTTGAATCATTGGTACACAAACAAGTCACTTCTTTCATTTCGAAATGCAACTACCTTAGTACATATCAATCTGGCTTCCGCCCGGGACATAGTACCACCACAGCTTTACTTCAAGTTACAGAAGATTTTAGAGAGGGCATGGAGAGGTCATGTTTGACTGTTCTGGTCCTTATTGACTTTTCAAACGCATTTAATTGTGTCGATCACGACTTACTCCTTGGATTACTCTCACGCCTAAACTTCTCCCCGTCAGTACTGAACTGGTTTTCCTCTTATCTTCGTGGTCGCCAGCAGGCTGTTCGGGCTGGTCAGGATTTTTCCGACTGGTGCGATCTATATCTAGGTGTACCGCAAGGCGGCATTCTCTCTCCTCTCTTGTTTACGTTGTTTATCAATCTTCTTACTACCCACCTTCAATGTTCTTACCACCTATACGCTGACGATCTTCAGTTATACTCACAAGCGTCCTCGGTTGAAATTGCTAGCGCTATTGCAGCTATTAATCAGGACTTACAACGCATTTCAAACTGGTCACAGCGATTTGGTATAACGGTAAATCCCAGTAAATGCCAGGCTATTATCATTGGTAGTCGTCGATTGGTGTCACAACTTAACATACCTGATCTACCATCCATTTGCTATGAAAACTGTGTAATTCCTTTCCGCACTAGTGTCAAGGATCTGGGTTTAATTATTGACTCGACCCTTAGTTGGAGGTTACAGGTGTCCGAGATTTGTCGTAAAGTCACAGGCATACTTCGTTCCATCTATCGTCTTAAGTTCTTTCTGCCTCCTTCAACTAAGCTTCTACTCATCCAATCTCTAATTCTTCCATTATTTGACTATGCCGATGTTTGTCTTTCTAATATCTCTCAGGAGCTGCTAAGCAGGTTGGACAGGTTACTTAACAACTGCATACGATTCATCTTTGGTCTGCGCAAATACGATCACGTATCAGAATTTCGCTCCCAATTAAAGTGGTTGACTATACGCCAGCGCAGAGATTTTCGAATGCTGTCCTCTCTGTTTTCAGTTCTTAATGATTCTTCCTCACCCCTTTACCTAAAAGAAAGATTCCAATTCCGTAGTGACATTCATTCTCTCAATCTCCGGTCTTCACACAATTTATTACTGTCTACTCCTCTCCACCATTCTGGGTTTATGTCAAATTCTTTCACATTAACTTCCATCTCCCTCTGGAACAAATTGCCTGTTGACCTGCGCATAATACCTGCTAAAAACGTGTTTAAAAGAAAACTATACGAATATATCCGTAACCAACAAATTTGAGTCCACTTACTTTATATGTTTATAGTTATTTGTATATAAATTTATGGAGATATATATTTATATATGTATATGTGTATGTATATATGTATATACATATGTATGTGTGTGTAAGTGTATATAATATATATGTATATATATATATATTATATGTATGTGTAGCATGTACATTTTGAATTGAATGAGATCATGACATCTTTGCTGCCCATAACTCACTCTCTGTTCTACCCAAGGTTAGCTGGTAGAGAATGCCATATAGCATTAAGCTCGCCTTTTGTACAAAATCTTTGGTGCAATAAAGAATAAAATAAATAAAAAAATAAATAAAATACAAAAGGCGCGCATGAGTGGCGCGCGCGGTGCGGGGGAGTACCGATGGTTTCTGGGAATTCAGTCGCCATGGAGCGTTTCACCGGTGCGGACCGTCGCATTTTGTGTGCGCGAGTTTTATCAAAACAATGATTCGGCTACCACTATAGCGCGGCGTAAATTTCGAGAATATCAGAATTTACGCAACTTTAAAGACATTCCAAGTGTTCAAACGATTATAAACTGGGTTATTAAGTTCGAAGAGAGTGGTTCGACGTTAGATAAACAACGGTCAGGTCGACCAAGGACATCACGGACGGAAGAAAACATCGATGTAGTGAAACACTCAATTCGTGAAAATCCTACCCAGTCTACTCGTAAGCGTTCCAGTGCATTAAACTTACCCAGAACATCGTTAAAGCGAATTTTAAAGAAAGATTTACATCTTCACACGTACAAGATTTAGATAGTACAGGAATTAAAAGATACTGACACTATCCACAGACTAAATTTCGCAAATGAAATGTTGAACCGCTTTACTTCGTTTAATAACGTGTTATTCTCTGATGAGGCTCACTTTCACATCAACGGCCATGTCAATAAGCAAAATTGTCGCTACGAAATGGAGTTGCGAAAATCCAAATCGCAAACATCAAAAGCCCTTACATAGCCCTAAAGTGACAGTTTGGGCGGCTATGTCAGCGCATGGCATTATAGGCCCTTACTTTTTTGAGGACGGCAGAGGCCGCGCGCTTACTGTTACTTCACAACGGTATGTAGCTATGATCCAGGACTTTTTTACACAAGAGTTGCAGAATTTTCCAGGCTTCAATACGCGGACCTGGTGTCAACAAGATGGAGCAACTGCCCATACCTCTAACGTCGCTATGCCGGTCGTCCGTTAACTTTTCCCTAATAAAGTGATCTCTCGAAGAGGAGATATTCCTTGGCCACCACGTAGTCCAGATCTGACCCCAATGGACTTTTTCTTTGGGGTTATCTTAAGACTAAAGTGTACGAAACCAACCCGCGGACAATTGACGTCCTGAAATAAAATATCCAAAGAGAAATGGCAAACATTACAGAGCTTACTTGCCGCGCAGTGATGGATAATTTTAAACGTCGCTTACAGGAGTGCCGCGATCGTAACGGATTACATTTAGATTATGTAATTTTCAAAAAATAATTCCCATTTTATAAGGATTATGACAAAATAAAAACCTTTTTCATAATGTCATTAGTTTTTTTTTAATTATTTTTTTACATTTCAAGGGACTTATGGGCCACCCGGTATTAAAACGTAATTTTATTAATTAATAAGCATTTTACATCGTAACTTTATAAAATGCCGCTCATCGTACTGTGACGTTCGGGAGATCACGACTAATTATCTCATCGCATTTCTCTCCGTGTATTCTTATATAAGAATCCGATAAGAAGAGAAACCTGCCACCCTGCCAGATAACATATGCATTTGAGACGCAGTCTTTATGTAGAAGCTCAAAGTTGCTCGGCGAACTACTACGGCGGCTCTGGAGGGTATTATGCTCAATGTTTCCTAGCTTAATATTAACGAGGATATCTGCAGTAAACACACATCTTTTTTCGGCTCATATTGACATTAACTGAAAAAGTATTAATTTTATTATACTTATTTATTATTTATAAACAGGTTATTGGTATTTTGTCGACTTTAACAAACTCTGCAAGTAGTAGTTATAATTTTAACACATTTTATCTAAAACATTACTTAGAATTTATCTGTTTCATGTTGCTCCCTAAATTGATAGACGTTCTTGTTTTTCTGTTAATTTTTAATAATTCTAATACGATCAATATAAAATATTTTAATGTAAGGTTTTTCTACCACTAACTTGGTTGTGTTATCCTGGGTCAGGCCAAATAATATATTATCGGGGGTTTTTTGTCACGAAATTCTCAGTAGCAGCCTATGGTATCGGTCCGGGGGGACGGTATTCAAACACCGTGCTTTGTAGACGTGTGTCAATCATAATAATTCGTCCCTTTGAGCTGGTACACTTAAAATCATTGATGGTTCATTCATCTGTTTTTGAATGTTCCGGTACAACCAATCACAAACAATTGACGGAACCTTTTTAACTCGTAATTGGTGAATCCCGAATGATCTCAATGAATTTTTTTTAGTGTAGGGTACAGTGTCGGTTCCCAGTGGATCTCACAGACTTACACAGTACTGAAGCCCGATATGATCCATTTGAATGATCGGTCCGAATGTACCGGTACGCGTGACGAAGTGTACTAGAATGATTCGGTCACGAGAAATGAATGATTGACATATATGTCTAGTGCTTCGGAAAGCACGTAAAGCCTATGCCTCCCTTCTTTCCGATCGTATCGGATTGCCGTCTGATCGAAGATGATAGTGAGGGAAAAGAGAGTCAACCTGCGTAGATGGCTCTCCCTTGTCTCCCTTTAGACTGGCCGCCGTGACCGAAATTCGGTCTTGACGACATTAATGTTAAGAATGTGGTTACAATGGATTTCTTTCAAACGATAGGTACATATTTTTTTACTCAGGCCACACTTTTTGTTTGATTTCAGTATGAATACGCAACATGTCTTTATCGGCAAGTCGCCAGCAGTTCCTGGCATACGAAACTCAAGGTGCTGACGATATTCATTATGGGAGAAAAGGCGGCATATTCATCTCAAACTTCATATGCATCTCTTTTATAATATTAGCTGTAATTGTTGCTGCACTAGTCGGAGTTATCGTTTACTATGTTACTTATTTTAAGGTAAGTTGATTATCCCAGCCATGTGGGAATAATGTTAGATAATTCATCGCCACACTTCATCCCGTGGGTATCGTAAGTGGCGACGTTGGGATTTACAGGAATAATCTTATGGCTTCCGGGCACACAGTCCAGTAAGTGGACGCTGTGGGCTATAGACATCATGTAGATGTCTATAGGCCACAACGTCCAATGTAGATTTATCCTCAATTAAGAATCAAAATGCAGATGGGTTTTCACCCCTAAGGACTAAAATGGAATGTTTCATTTCCAGTAAAAAGGGGTTTTCTGCACTTACCTACCATACGAAACACATTAGCATTAAGCGATCATCTATAATCGACTGTATGACGCAATCTGCCACCCAGATAACGTTACATTGTTAAAGCGTTACATGCGATAGCATGAAGTAATTACTTATTATATACTTCGTATTATAGGATATTGGATTTTTAGCTTAGAAGTTAGAAGTCGTCACCGTAGTTCAAATCGGCCAAGATTTATTTTTGTGTTCATAAAAAATAATCAATAATTAAAGTGTACGAATTTAACTGTACTTGGGTAAAAAGTTTGAAGAACAAAAATAAAAGTAAGTTCCGATTATCCACCCGTCGTACATCGTCCGTGGGCTGGATAGATGAACCCGCGTTTCTGAGTATCCAGCCTAGAGTAGATTTTTAAAGCGTGTAACATAATTATCATTTTTATTTATATAAGTATTCTAATCATTTTTACTCACGACCACATTATTTTTTATCTAATTGCAAAATGGATGATGGGGTCATGACACCTTGAGAACGAAGATGATAACCCTTGATTAATAAAAAATAATATTAGATTATATTAGTAATTTATTAGCATATTTGCAAAAAAATTACAAAAATTTCTTATAATTTGATTTATTAGGTACCAGTAAAGTAAGCTTAATACTAAAAACACAGACATCATAATATTTTGAGCCACCTGGTTGCATGATATGCATAACCCATTGAAGTAATATGTACTTATATACTAGAACAGCTATCTCAAACAAAAAATGTGCGCTATTCTGTGTTCGCGCGTTTGGTTTTTTTTATCATAGAATAAACATAGGTAGAATGATACGTAGGTAATAGTAGATTGTATTGTTAAATAGCTAAATTATATCGAGAACAATATTTAAATTTTGTCATTTATTTTGTATATTATATTTGTTTATTTAATATAATATTACATAATATTATATCACAATTACATTTTAATGATATTTTTATCTGAATATTTTAAAAGGTATCTATGTAATATAAAAAAACATACTAAATGTATGTTTAACAAAACTTATTAACATAAAATTTAAATTACAAATATATTTATTTAAATTAGAATCATAAATGCTGTAAATAATCGTTCATAAATGCTGGACACGCGAGAGTTAAAAATGGACGAATTTATTCCACTTTGACTTGAAGTGGAAACCTAAAAAATAAAATAAAAGAATAATAAGCAGATTTAAACATGAAAATTTTAGCCTAATTATAATAACTTATATATATATATATATATATATATATATATATATATATATATATATATATATATATATAATGTGTATAATAATATATTCGTCCTATACTTAAGTACCCACAGAAATGTCGCATCTGAACATATTAATTTCGTAATCAATATTCCGTGATACGAGATGGCGTCTTAGGAATAAGTTGTTTTATTATTAATTTATAATACTTTTTTATTGATTAAGTATCTTATTAACCGATGAAAAGTAATTCCTTGGTTTTTACTGACATTTCTTGAATTATTTGTGCAATATCTAAGTACACAAGATGGCATATTTTTATCAAGAGATTTTTTTAAATCAACACAACACGTGACAACTCTACAAGCGCCTAGCGAGCGAGTAACTGATTAAAGTGCGGTGCATGCACCGCAGTTGAGTGGAACAGAGTAGCTGAATGCAGTGTCTCCTCTAGTACGTAGTACATAATAGCTCAATGGCATAACTATAATCTTCTGCAAGGTTATTTTTAAGTACATGTTTTAAGTCATAGAGTAATTAGACTAATAGTTCTATGTTTTAAGTGTTTTAGAGGTATTGTGATGTCTGTAATAAGCTAGCTAAGTTATACATCTATATTGTATAAGTTATACATTTGTATTAAAACAATAAATTCAAATTTTATAATTATGTAAACATTACATACACACTTTTATCAATCATTCATTCAAAAAGCTTAACTTTTAAAACGGAAATGAATATCTTATAAAAAATCATACTTATTATTTGTAAATATTTTTGACCTTTGCCAAAAATCTGACGTCATCACGTCAAATAATTACTAAATTCCAAGGCTAAGGGTGTGTTCCGATATACACTGCCAGCACTGCTCGGTGCTCTCACTGGTGAAAAATTCGTTCGGTTATTGACTGCCAGTAAACTGCCGCAGGTTACCCTAGGAAAATATAATGACTTCATAAATCGCCGCCATTTTGTTCTGTGAGCTCTGATGCTATGAAGAGTAGAAGTAAGGAGTATCAACTCCCATAGGAGAATAGTTGAAAAAGTGTCCATCTGTAAGCAGTAAATAACAGTTCAAAAACTCTCCACAACAGCGCTCGAGTAGCTACGGGGTATGTTAACTCGCCATAAAATACGTTAAGAGTGATTTTGAAAATAACAAATTTGAAATCAATAAAATAATTATTGTAAAAAGAATGGAGAAGATAACCATTTTTTGTTTTATATGCCAAAAAATTTTACAAAAAATTATGAGAATAACTGTGTTTTTAAATTTTTTCTATCTTCAAAACTGACCGAGATATAAAGGCGCAAAGTTAACATTTTCGATCTAAGCCGCGGGCCGAGCGCGACATCGTTGATGACGTCACAAGTTCCATCTTCGTGCGAGCAACCCGACGCGCACTTAGAAAATCAAAACATTTACTCGAATGTGCCCGTCGCATGCGGATCTATCTATCTATTTTTAACAAGAAACATTATAGTAGAACATGACACCGTCTATTAAATATTGTGCTGTGCCTCAATGTAAAAATACGGCCACAAAAACACCTGAAAAGTTGTTTTTTAATGTGCCTAGAAATCCTACCATCAGAAAAAAAATGGACAAATGTTATGAGAAGAGCACATCCTTTAGAACCGAACACGGTAGCATTTTGTTGTGAGGATCATTTCGATGTAAGTATTCAAATAATAATAACCTTCACATGATAGGTCTCGGTTATTGCTAGTAAATGCTTTCTATTAGGCATGTAGGTACCTACTCGAGTCGCAGTGTTTAAGAAACTAACGATTCATTGAACCTTTCCACGCTTAATGATCATTATAATTTCATGAAGAAACAATACCTAATACCTATATATTTAACTAAAACTACTTCAGTGTAAATAAACATCCAAACTTGGGTAAAGTACCTATGTAATGTAGATAAGTCAATGACCTGTCGTGAGTTCGTAAGCTTAGATACATACCTATGTTTGCAGTAAATTTTAAAATGTTTATAATGCATATAAAGGTTAAAATATGGAATATGTTAACAAACGTTTTTATATTTTTACGATATTTCGAGGAAAAACTAAACACACACGTAGAGCTGTTCAACTTTCATACTTTGCGTACCGCAAATAATGGAATAAGTTTGATTATGAAGTGGAGCACTTAAATTTTTTTCGTGTTGTCATATTTTTATGTATTACATAGTTGGTACATATTTTAAATATTGATGGAATACAAATTACGAGGTTCCTTATTTTTTTAATAGACTTTAAATAAGTTTGTATTTTGTTCTAGGTCGAAAACGATATGGAAAACTACGTGAAGTACAAACTAGTTTGTTGGTCGCCTCAAACTTAAAAAAGACGTTTATGTAATTCACAATTTTAAAAGCAAATTTATCACACGTTTATTCAACGAAATCAACGGAACTTCAATGACAATGACAAGATTCTTTTTATTTTTTCTATAGACGTTACTAGTAGTAACGTATATCATACAGCCAAGTTCATAATGAACATAGTCACGGTCTTATTCCACAGAGAAAGATAAAGAAAGAAAAAATAAACGAATTTAGCCGCGAAATGCGACCTTGTTTTAATGGCGTGTGTAAATAAATTTAATTTTAATTTTTTACTGGGTGAAATCAGCCACCTCACAGAAGAGACCGAGAGGCTGAACCTATTCTTATCATTAGCAAATGAAACCCAGAAGTATTAATGTAATAAAATACCTAGGTTATAAAAATATTATCTTATTCTTATACCTACCTTTTCATTTTGACTCCGCGTATTTCAGCCGCGACAAAACCTTTGTTTCTTAGAAAATATTCCGCCACCATCATGTCACGGACTATTGGAAGGTTGTCAGATTGACCCTTTTGAAACCCTTCTTCCATCATTAAATACTTAAAAACACCAGAGCGAACGAGGGCAAACAACTCGGCCGCGAAATATTACTACAAACGTATGATTGGCGCGCTGGAACGGTATGGCGGCGCGGCCGCATGGAACGAATGACGTCACGCGCTACTCGCGGGTAAAAGTTACAGCCTACATACGTCCCACTGCTGGGCTCAGGCCTCCCCTCATTTCTGAGAGAGTTTAGGGCAAGGAAGTGTCCGCCGCGCTGCCCAAATGCGTGTTGACGAACTTCACATGTCTTCGAAATATTTTTTTTTTCTTATTCCTCAGACATGCAGGTTTCCTCACGATGTTTTCCTTCACCGCCGAGCACGTGGTAAATCAGCACTTAAAATTGCAATTAACAATTTCATTGGTGCCGGCGGGGATCGAACCCGGGTTACTCGCGTTCTGTTATATTTACAGCGAGCGTTAACCACTGAGCTACCACGGCACGACATACTCGCGGGTACGGGCGAGATTTTAGAAATGTACGTTAATGTTAACTTTCCACGCTTATAACTTCGGTAATAGTGCACCGATCGATGTGAAATAAAAACTAGAATTATGTGTTTGGTCCAGACTTTTTACCTACGTACTTAAAAATCTAATATTGTAACCTTGTTATCTTCTCCATTATGGTGAAAGTCTGTGCAATAAACAAATTACAAAAAGTTCTTTAAAGTTTTTACTGTAGCTACAGTGGCGCCACCCTTATTTAACGCTTTCCTATGGACACTTTTTTATAGAGAGTCTGTACTCCTTACCTCTACACTTCATAACTGGTGCTTTCGAGGTAAGGTGATGTCAATACTTTGATGACGTGATCAAAAACATAACAGCGCCTAGAGATTTAACAGCTTCCACGAATAATTGTTATTATTATTTATTGATATTGTTATTCAAATAAACTCGGAAATTAAGTTTTAAAAGCAACAACATTTAAATAATATTTTTTCTTGTTGAACAGAAATGATAAATATTTTCGTTTGAAAACGATCGACAAATGGGGATAACAATATGCTGAACTGCGTTCCATTTTAAACAGTATAACAAACTAAAAAGGAACGTCGGCGCATAACAGTATACTGAACTGCGTTCCATTTTACACTGTAACCAGTATAGAAAACTAAAAAGGAACGGCAGATAACAGTATGCTGAAATGCGTTCCATTTTAAACTGTAACCAGTATAGAAAACTAAAAATAAACGGCTTCATGGTATACTGAATTGACGTCACATCTTGCAGTACAGCTTAGACCATTTGAATGGTCTAAGCCATATATAATACCAATGTATAAGAGTCTAAGCTGTACAGTGGTCACAGTATATATCGGAACAAACCCTAATTTGCCTAATCCTTGACACTGACAGTGACAGTCTGACACACAGGTCTGACAGTTGATTACTGTGTAAGTGTATATACGGTTACAGTTGAATTATGAACAAGAGCGAGCGAGCGTTTTATTTATTGTATATTGTGTTTCGGAATTTGATATTGGTTTTTAAATGATTATAGCTTAAAGTTTCAACGATCGATTTTAAAATGACGACTTAACATTTGAAAATTTTAAATTTTGTATTACAGTTTATTTATACCACCGATCTGTGATAATTCCTAGTTCTTAGCTTGAAAAATGCATCGTCTCGTAAATTTCTATTTCTTAACCAATATATTATTTATTTTTGGTGATGAAATAGTAAGTATTAAACGTTCTTTTTCTGAAAACTATTGCCAAAATTCAAAATCAATTCATATTAATAATAATTAAATATTATATCCCTTAATCTCTTAAAATAAATCATTCTTTGAAACAACATAAATATGTCATCATCATCATTACGTTACCCTTTAACAAGTTCACTGTAGGGAATACATTTTTAATGACTCACAAAAACGGTCTTGAACCACCAGAATCCACGAACTTCCACAAGATTCTATAAGTTCTTTAACAATTTCACTGTCCCGTGTACTATATTATATAGGTCATTGCTATTATCTTATACTATTGTGTCTGAAAACTGGACAGTGAAAGTGTTCAATACATAGAAAAATAACAGGTAAGTGTGCAACTGTAGTAATTTATTGATAAATATGTTTATAAATATTGCTTTGTAGGTATCACAAACACCTCAAGACTTTTGGAATGAAGAAGAACCATTTGGGCAGACAAGTGAGCCCTCACCTGACCTTCGATTGCCGCCTTATGTTGTTCCAAGCTTTTATAGATTAAAAATAAAAACTAATATTGAAAAATCATTGTTCAGTGGAGAGGTCTATATTACAATAAGAGCCAGCAAACAAGTCAAAGAGATAATATTACATTCAAAGAACCTCAGTATTAATAGTAATGCTAAGCTCACAGAGCAAATATATGAACATGAAACAGTACATACTATTTCAAGGAAAAAGCGTGAAGCTAATACAACTAATTTAGATAGTGTTACAGTATCACCAAGTCTATCCAATGGTTCTTTAGGTACTGCCAACAACTCTGAAAGTATAACCGAAAATATTATAGTAACACCTGTAGACAATGTACAAATTACAACCATCAATACGCAAGTAACACACAGCAGTGTCCGTAATATTAAAATATTGTCTATTAAGGAGAGCTCAGGTGATAGATTGATACTTACATTAGCTTCCAAGTTAAAAACTGGTGTTGATTATACTCTAGAGTTGTCATTTGAGGGAACTATATCAAATTCATTGACTGGTTTCTATAAAAGTACTTACACTACTAATAAGAATGAGATTAAGTGAGTATTCAGTTTTTTACGTACTATACCAATTAACTTGTGTTCTATTTATAGCTGTGTTTTCAGAGTTTTGGTCATTCTTGTCACCGTTCAGCTTATCAAGAGTCCTCTGCTGAACATAGGCTTCCCCCATAAATTTCCTCACAGGGGGAATATAAGTCATATTTGCCACGTCAAGGATGAATTGACAACTGTAGCTTTTTACTAGGATGATAAGGAGTAGTAGATTCTCTCAATACCACCACTACATGCGAAGAGTGCTTGTAATTAGTCCTTAAAATACTTTAACAATTTGAAATAAAGGAAGAAAATGAAATTGTTCACTATTGAATTCATTTGTGTGTTATTGTATAACATACCATATAAACTAAATTCACCTAAAGGTGCAAGTTTCATCAAGTGTTTATTTTCCAGGTTATAACTATGAAGCAGAAACAAGGCAGTCCCCAGGTTGATTTGGGTTTTTTTTAATTTTTGTGTGCCTCCTATTTGCTATTTTGATATCACACATCCTTAGTGTTTATAAATTGTTTGATGTGCATATTTCCTCATTGAATTTCCTTTCTAAGTTGAATCAAATCATAACTCTATATTGATGATCACTAATTAAAAGTGTTAGCATTCAAATTTAAACATATTATCATGCAATAATATTATTTTTTAATACAGAAAACTTGGTGTTACACAATTCGAACCTACATCTGCCCGTGCAGCGTTTCCCTGTTTTGATGAGCCTGCATTCAAAGCAAAGTTTGAGATCAGTATAGCACACCCACAGAACTTAACAGTGCTGTCCAATATGAAGGTTGCTGCACAGGAACCTATGTGAGTTTTCTTCCAAATTTTTATTTTGAAAACACTAGTTCTACAAGTCCAAAATATATATAAAATACTTGTTACTAGTTACTAATTGTTACTAGAAGGTCACATGTAACTACTAACCATACCACCTGAACTAACCTGATAATTTCACAAATATCATCACTTGAAATTAATCAAATTCAACTTGTGTTTGTTAATATTACTATTTCCTTTATACAATTAAGAGTGACAAATAAGAACAAAGTCCACCAAATGATAAGTGGATAGCTCGTAGACACCTACTTTATCCTCATTATAGAAACAAAATGTAGATGTATTGTAATTCCTGAGAACTAACTGGAAATGCCTCATTTAAAAGTTCTCTGATTTTCATCATTAACAATATAAAACACAGCAGCTTTGTATTACTGTTAATGCAGGTATTTTGTGAATATGCTCATTCTTTAAGTAAGTGGTGATGTAGCTGGCAAGAGGTATAGCATGTAGACTTGCTTAACAAACGCATATTCACTCTTGCCTTGACATGAAAAACACTCACATTGCTATGGGATGGGATGTTAGATGCTGGCAAATTATTCCACTAATTTCCTGCACTCATTACAAATGACAAAGCAAACCATTTTGTTTGGATGCTTGGACAACAAATATTTTAAACCTATCGGAAGATACCAAAAAGATTTATGTGTTAGTAAATAAGAGATTAAGTAATTAATAAGTTTAGTTGTTAGTATGTATCCTATTTAAGAATTTTGTTGTACCAGGGCGTCATAATCGCTTCAGCGACAAAGCCCTTTTTCTAAGAATTAAAAAAAAACAAATATGTATGGACTGTCCAAGCGCCTTCTTATCTGATATGGTACAAGAGAAGAAGGAATTAAGTTATGCATTTACGTCTTGTCAATGCAATTTTATAAGTTTTTGTTTTTATGTAAAGTGTGTTTGGATTCAATAAATATTAAATATTAAATTCCTGTGCACACTCCGAAATTAGTTTTCTTTCTAACTCAAACCCACCCATTCATTATAATGCTGCAATGTGAATTTAGTGAATAAAACTTTATAAAACTATACAAATTTATAACTATGTGAAACTCCTTGTTCTGCATTGTCTTTGTCGTATGCACGAGGCATTCCATGACAACACCTGCATTTTGATTCTTATTCGACAATATATGTAGATATGTATAGGCTACCATATCTACTTACTATCAGGTAGATTGTGAGCTTGTTTATCATTGGTCACCCTTATTCTATAAAAAAAAGAAAATCCTTGTCCATCAGCAGAGGTTGATATTTAGAGAATGAAGGCTTTTCACCCTAAATGTCCGGTTGAATATTTATAACTTAAACATTTTACAGAAAAGAAGAGCCTGGATGGCAGTGGACACACTTTGATAGATCAGTTAATATGTCCACATACCTTGTCGCCTATGCAATATCGGACTTCCAGAATCTAGAGACCAGCTACACTAGTAAAGACAACATAACAAAGACAATCCGTGTTTGGACCAGACCTGAGCTCATACATAAAGCTAAATATGCATTGAACATAACACCGAAACTTCTGGAATATTATGAAGATGTGTTTGGACTGCCTTATGCATTGGACAAGCTTGACTTAATTGCAATTCCGGACTTTTCAAGTGGTGCCATGGAAAATTGGGGCTTAATCACATTCAGGTAAAGCTTTTAATCTATCAACAGTACTGCAAAACTTAAGTCATCCTCACTCATCCTCATTGTGTAAGTCTTCATCTATCTCAAATTAGAAGAATATGCCATAAGCGGTTCACTTAACAATGAAACTATCTTTAAAAAATTGTTGATCAACACTCCAGTCAATTGAAATACTTTCTAATGCTTAAATACTCAAATGCTGCTCAATTTTAAGATGATATTGAGTCTCATGTAGTCTCTATCACTAAGTTAAAGTGACTGTGAGACTACAAGACTTAATGACATCTTAAAATTCAGTAGTTTCTTCAAAAGCTTGTTATAAACAGAAATTCCTAAAGTAATTGTATGAGAATAAAGTGTATTAACATATTTTTTTTATTTTATGTGTTCTTATTTTAAGACATTTTTAAAAGTAGCAAATTCAAATCATATGTTGTAGTTATTACCAAAGGACACCACCATTTATTAATTTCTTTCATTTATTTATTTATACTTTGTTGCAAAAAAAATTACAAAGATGGAATTAACGCCTTAAGGCATTCTTTTTCAGTCAACCTATAACTAAGCAGAGAATACTGGAGCTGCGGGGTTTATAATAGAAGGAATTAAAGATCGACAGAAAATATATGAAAATAAACTAACTTAGTATATGTATTATATAATTCAATATATATAATATTATACATGGGCCACAGAATTCACTTATCATCGGGTGAATTGCGTGCTTGTTTGTCACGCTCATTCTTTAAAAAAAATCACATCTGTAACTGCTGACCCTATTTATTTTAGGGAAACAACCCTTTTATTCGACGACGCTGAGGGTGTACCTCGGGACAAACAAAATATTGCGATCGACATAGCACATGAACTGGCCCACCAGTGGTTCGGCAACTTGGTGACGATGAAATGGTGGACCGACTTATGGCTCAATGAGGGATTTGCCACTTATATAGAGTACGTCGGTGTAGATCACGTGAGTTATGAAGTTATTGTAATAGGTGTTAAAGCTTTAGAAAATTATCATCACTTTTATCTATATAAATGAAGTTGAAGTATCTATCTGTGATATGGTAATAATTACCGTTTATTTATTATTTAATATTTTTATTTTATTTCGGGTACAATATAATAATGCCTTCAGGATGCTGATGGGATTTCCACGTTATTGTAGCGCTTCAGGGATGTTTACAGCGTACGGTACGGATGGTTTTCATGCAATAATTAGAAAGAGAATAGCATTCCTCATGCGGGTTCGTGGGAGCTCCAATAGCATTCTGAGGGCAATATCTGAAAGATTTGATTGTCCCATCCATATAGGCACTGGATGCGTATACACTTGCATGTGCCTGGTGTCATGGAGTACCGAAAATAAAAAAAAATATTGTTATGAAAATTGTGCGTGTAATAATTTAAGACTAACATAGGTTAAGCTAATTTACTAACATAATTATGGACTATATGTGTGTCTGAAATAAATTAAATTATTATTATTATTATTGAGCTGGAGTGGGTTATTTGCATGTCATTAAGACATGAATAACAATTTTTAAAATTTTTGTCTGCATGTCTATGTCTGTCCGGGCCTTTGGAATAATTAAATTTATTGTAATTAAACTTAACGAACTGATAAGAGAAATGCCAAGAGTGATCTAGAATCTCTCAAAATCTTTTGATAATAAGATTTTTTGAATAATCAAAAATTTAATAAAATAAATTGTCTTTGATGATAATCTTAAATCTAAATAACGCCGTATTAATTAATCCTACTCAAGCGATAGAACCAAAAAAAGCTGTGGTAGCTCAGATGGGCTTGCTGTACATATAACAGTACGCGAGTAACCCAGGTTCGATCCCCGCCGACACCATAATTTATTCAATTTTAAGTCCGATTACCACGCCTCGGCTCAGGACGTGAGGAAACCTGCATGCCTGAGGAATAAGAAAAGAAAATATTTCGAAGACATGTGAAGTTCGCCAACACGCATTGGAGCAGCGCGGCGGATACTTCCTTGCCCTAAAACCCCCTCAGAAATGAGAGGAGGCCTGTGCCCAGCTGTGGGAAGTATATAAGCTGTAACTTTTACTCCAGCGATGCTGGGTTGAGTCGCTAGTATTCATATAAATTTATATAGTCCCTAAATTAAAAAAAGAATTAAAAAAATTAAAAAGTCAAAGCAAAAGAAAGGATAATACATAATATATTTAATTTCCAGCGTCCTTAGATATATTTTTACTTATGTATATATTTTATAGGGTAATATTGTAGCTTTTGGGAAAAAATTAGTCTATTTGTGAGTTTATTACTGCTTCCTCTCACAAGGTCCTACTGCTTTTCTGTTCACGCGGGTTATAGAACTCACTACCTCCTAATATAAGAAATTCCGAAACATTATTGGCATTTAAGAAATGTTAGAGATAATTTCTTTACATCCTGTTAATACATATCATTTTAATGCATTGTATTATTTTATTTTTGTTTATAGTATTATATAATATAATTCATATAACATTTTGTATATTATTTATTCATTAGTAGTAATCAATGTAGTAAGTTTGCTATTTTAATATATTTTCCTTAATAGGTCTCATCATCATCTTTATCATCATCATTACAGCCCTTCATAAGTTCACTGCTGAACATAGGCTTCCCCCAAGAAATGCCACAAGCACGGTCCTGAGCCACCTGCATCCATTCCTGCATATCTTACCAGCATCACTCCATCTAGTGGGGGGGTCGCCCTACACTACGCCTATCGGCACGAGGCAGCCACTCGGGAACCTTTCTTCCCCATCGGTTATCGGTTCTTCGAGCTATTTGGCCGGCCCATTGCCACTTCAGCTTACTAATCCGTTGGGCTATGTCGGTCACTGGTTTTACTGCAGATATCCTCATTTCTGAGTCTATCACGCAGAGAAACTCCGAGCATAGCCCTCTCCATAGCTCGCTGAGCGACCTTGAGCGTCCTCATACGGCCAGCAGTGAAGGACCACGTCTCAGATCCGTAAGTCATCACTGGCAACACGCACTGGTTGTACAATCTAGTTTTCAGAGATTGAGGTATACCTGAAGAGAAGATATGTCGTAATTTCCCGAACGCTGCCCAGCCGAGTTGAATCCGTCGATTGACCTCTCGGTCGAAGTTGGACTTACCTAGTCGGACTATTTGTCCCAGGTAAACGTACTCGTCAACAACTTCGAGCATAGTGCTCCCAACAACTACCGGCATAAGTGTGACATGGACATTAAACATGATCTTTGTTTTGTCCATGTTCATCTTAAGACCTATCCGTTAGCAGACACCATTGAGGTCATTGAGCATAGTGCTTAGGTCCTCCATCAATTCTGCCATAAGGACTAGGTATATCGTCGGCAAAAATTTATCGGTCTACAGGAAGATATTTCACCAAATTATGGAAAAAGCAGAACCTTTATACGAACTTATAATTTCTGTATCTTGTTGTGTGTACGTAATTGGGAATATTTGAACCTCAATATTATTAAATCCCTAAACCATATTATATTATAGTTATTTCTACTTTCAATCCTAAACAATTCTGAGCAGATCAGAATGGGTCTCTCAAAAGGGGATCATGTTTATGGGCGACGGTAATCACTCACCATCAAGTGAGCCGCATGCACGCATGCAACACTGACAATCTTCTTTTTTAAATTACTTTGCGCCCATTTTTGTTGCACATTAATCATCTCTTATATTCAAAGAGATACTCACAGTCACTATGTATGAAATTCATTCAATTTCACTAACAATTTCCCTTATCAGATCGAACCACAGTGGGATATGTTTGAATCGTTCACAAGAGACAAAATGGACCTCCTGAGGTCGGACGCGCTCAAGAACACATCGCCAGTGTCACGCAAAGTGATCGACGCCTCGGAAATATCGCAGAAGTTCGATGAAATATCCTACATGAAGGGCGCCAATTTGATAAGAATGCTAAACCACACGATTTCCGAAGAACTGTTTCATAAAGGACTGGCCATTTATTTGAATAACTGGTAAATATTTTTTTTAATATAATCACCGTCACAGACAATAAGACTAATGTCTAAATACTCAAATGCTGCTTAATTTTAAGATGCTCTTAAATATCGTGCTGTCTTTTTATATGAGAGGTAGGAAACGATCATGCTGCTCAACTGGTGGTAAGTGACTACGGGCGCCCATGAACAACTACAACACCAGGGGAATTGCAGATGCGTTGCCGGCCTTTTAAAAAGAGCTCTTTTCTTGAAAGTCCCAAAGTCGTATCGGTCCGGAAGAATCACTGGTGGTAGTCGATTCCACAAGGTAGTTGTGCGAGGAAGAAAACTTTTTGTAAATCGTGCAGTGGTGGACCCCCAATCATACAGATGGTATGGATGGTATCGCGAGTTTTGTCGCGATGTGCGATGGTGAAATTGAGCCTCTAGAATTAGTCCGAACAGTTCTTCTGAGTACTCCCCGTGGTAGAATACCCAAAAGATGCAATATCACTTTAAGTCATAGTGACTGTATCACCACGAGATAAGCAAGGCTATGATAGTGGATCTGTGATTTAAGACTAAGATGAAATTTCTATAATTTTCTATACATATAATAAAACTGTAGAAATTTATTTGTTCACGATTCATGCAAAAACTGCTAGACGGATTTCCATAAAATTTGGTGTGTAGGCGGTAAATGATGATGTATAACATATAGGCAAATTTTTATCCGCTTCTAAAAAAGAAGCATTGTGTTTTTCTTTTTTTAAGTTTATTGTTATAATAGTTGTGGTATGGTGCTATTAGTCATAAAGAGGATTTATCTATACGTATTACGTTGAATAAGTCTATAGAAAAGTGTCTGTGTGAAGTTGAAACTCATAGCGCAACCAATCAGAAAGGGCAGAATAACGTCTGCCGGGCCAGCTAGTATTTAATATGTTATAAAATTGAATTACTATTCCTATCAAACCTCGATGCGAAACATTTTTGCTAATATTTGTGGCCCATAGATATCAACATAATATATCCTCCATTAAGAATAAAAATGCAGATAAGTTATCATCCCTGAGGACTAAAATAGAATACCTAGTTTTCGTTAAAAAAGATCTCTGGTTCACTCACCATACAGAAACATTAAGCTGCTACTTTACGTTAGTATTCAGCGCGTAGTAGTATTGAGAGCGTAGTCCTTCCCCGGTAGACCCGAACCATTCGTGCTACAGTTATGTAGCTGCGGCATGGCATCTAACACCTATAAAGATGTAAATGATAGTTCTAAAATCATTGTTGCATTACACCCAACAAATTCACTTAAATACAGTCAAAATAATGCCTTATCTATTTCAGGAAATACTCAAATGCTGTAGAGAATGATCTCTGGGAAGCCATGTCTAAGGCCACTAAGGGAGACCCCACTCTGCAACATTTGTCCGTAGTGAAGTTTATGAACACTTGGACGAGACAAGCAGGTTATCCAGTCGTGAAGGTTGAAAGAGAATATGGGAGCGAAAAAGTCCATTTTAGTCAGGTTAGTTTACTTAGTGGTGATTCTGGTTGAGAGAATCTATAGTCACATTTTGTTCATAGGGTGTTTAAGGTGATATACCTCGAAAATTTTGTGGTTTTTCTATTTCACATATTTATTTATGTTTTACATATTACGAACCAAATTTCTGATATATTATTTTTGACTATATGACATTGGATTACATAAAATGAAACCACAATATCATGTAATTTTCTCGATAGAGAAAAAACTGTAAAGCAGACTCTAATTAGTTACATTACTCCTTGCCACCACAATGTTTTTATGAATAAGTCTATGGAAATATTTTAAAGCATAGTAAATAATCATATCTAAGTTCTCATAAACCATTTTTTTTAATCCATAAGAAAGTTTTTTTAAAAAAAAATTTGTGTGGCGCATACTTCTTATTATCTCATAATTTGCGTACATGAAGTACATTGCATCACTGTCATTTTGACACTCCCTCAGTCGCCCGTGAGCTTCACCGACAAAGAGCTAAGCTACGCCCCCAAAATTGTGATTGATTTTCGAGATATTCTCTTTAAAATGAACTACCCCAGGTTTTTACATCTCACAAGTTTTTCCAACATTAATGGTCCATTTCAAAGTTTGATTGTAAGTGGTGATAAAACCCCGGACAGACCGCACCGCAACTGCAGTTTTTTTTATTTTTCGTTGTATGCTGCTGCCCATTCTTAAGTCTTTTCCCCTATTTTGCCTCCTACGACACCCACGGGAAGTGTGGCGTAGTGGATTCTCTCATGCCGCTACATGGCACATTAATGACAATTTTGACCGTTATCTTTACAACATATCAAAGTCCACGCCTGAACATAGGCTACCTCAAATATTGCGTCATATCTGCCTATCGTATATTGAGGAATTTGCCACGCTTGGCAGGCGATTTGGCTTTTTTTAGTTGTTATTAGGAAGACTGATTTCCTGGTTTGTTTTCCTGTATCACCTCTTATGATACACGGGGAACTATATGGTGTAGTGAATTTGGAAAAATCTAGTAGACTGACAAACTAGAGAGGCCATGCCTGAGATAAACAGTTGTTTAACCAAGGTTTTAATGAGATTGACCAAGCCACAGATGTGGATAGCAACAAGTGCTATCACAGGACATGGCTCCTTTAACAAACATTTATTTACTATAGGTGTTACAGATAGTCCCCTATGCAATGCGTATATGGGGTAGGAGAAAACGGGGGCCCACGTGTTGCTGACGTGTCTGGTGGTCGCTGCATACAGGGCTTATCATCTCAGCACGCCAGAATCACTCCCCGAAGTTGTTCAATGGACTGTTGAACTTCTTCGGGAAGATTTCATAGCTCGAGTAATCATAATATTCCTGCCCACACGCATTATACGCGCTTAGACGAGGAGTTGCAGAGCACGCAGAATTACGTTTATATGTGGTAGAGCCCCGCTGCAGCTATATTATGGTTGTAGCACGAATGGGTCGGCTCGATTGGGGAAGGACGACGCTCTCACAGAATACCAGCGTAAAATAGCAGCTTAATGCTGCTGTGTTTCGTATGGTGAGTGTAGAGATCCGGAGACCCTTTTTTTACTGGAAACGAGGCATTCCATTATAGTCCTCAGGTGTGACAACGCATTACGTGTGATGTCTATGGGCCACAGCATCCACTTGCCATCAGGTGGACTGTGTGCTCGTTTGTCAATCATATTCTATAAAAAAGTCAGTCGTTATCTTATCTATCTATTTATGGTGTATTGAATGTTTCTACACCTTCAATACACTGCACATTCAATTCACAGAAGCTGTTCACGAGCAGTGGCGATCCATACAAAAGCATGGCCGACCAACTTTGGCACATCCCCATCAGCTACACCTCTATGGACGTTCCACATGGCAACTGGACCACGAAGCCGCAGCTGTGGTTGAGCAACAGAGCTGCCACTGCTAGCGTACAAATCGACGATACGCAAGCTCTATACGTTAATGTGGATGCTATCGGTATGACATAAGACTATATAGCATTTTCGAATGGTGGGGCTCATTTTATCTCTAGAAATTAGGGTTGCCACCTTTTTTATTAACAAATATAGTATTTATCCCAAAAAGGCCCAAAAATATAGTATTTTTGATAAATTCAGGAGAAAAAAGTACTTACGCATTTATTTTTAATTTTTATGTATTGTTCCATATATATTTTTTATTGCTCTTTACTTTGGCCATCAATGATCTAATATCTTTAAAACATGTATATGACTCTGAGCCGTTTAGATTCATATTGAAATAAATTGGATTTTTGATTAAATTACATAATTATGTAATTTTACATATTCATTTGTGTTATCAATTACATATTACATTTATGACGGAAAAAATCATTTCCATAAAACTTACTTGTTTCAGACTTCTAATCACAGTTTATATAAATAAAGTACGACAAGTGAATTAGGGGTAAAAATATAGTATTTTTCGTACTATCTTATTTTTCTATAATATATGGTACAATTAAAACTGATGTATAGTACGATATTATATATTATAGTATGTGTGGCAACCCTACTATAAATCCATCTGGGTTGGTACCTGTAAGCGAACTGCAGTGCCTGCAAACAGAGCACAAAAAGTGACTTAACTTCTATATATAAAAATGCATTAGAGCGATATAAGGCTAAAACCAAATTAATCGTGTCAACTTGTATTTAAAAAAAAAGTTGTTTACAACGGTAGATGATGTAAATCCCCGTAGTAGCCGGGATCCGTATAGGCTTGTACTAAATGATTATCCTAGATTAAGGGCCTATACTACCTCAAATGGTTTAGCAAGATCCTCCGTTATGCCGAAAATATTGCAGCATTAATTTTGAAATAAATATATGATAAAGTTGAAGATTTATGTTAAGTACTATGTTAGACGAAAACACGATTCCGTAAAAAAATTTCGATAGAAAAAAAAACCAAAGTTACTTCCAAACTGAACAATAAACCGCTGTTATTCACAAAATACTTTAAATTAGATCATAAAACTGCATACTAACTGAACTATATATAAAGCAGGGCTTATGTTTTTAAATTACCATTATTTTCACTGTAAAAAGAAAATACCTAAACTATCGGCGTCCTGAAGCTTGTTACCTGCCGCCCGATACTCCCGCTCATTCTCGCTTCGGCTTTCGAACGGAAATGCTGTGTCGCTTTCGATCAGAATTCACTTAACCGTAATAAAATTAAGAAGTAACTGGGTTGGCGTAATGAAACAGGCATAAATATGATAAACCTAATGAAATAAGTATCTAACGACCTACCTACTTACAGTATTAGTGATTAAAAACATGTCGCTAGATAGCATATACGGGGAAGTGGAGGCGAAATTAGAATTTGAGCTGAGGTAGTATAGGCCCTAAAGAAAATATAATAAAGGTAGTTTATTTATGTATGTACCTGTGTACGCTTATAAAATAAAGTGCCTAATAACGTAAAATATTAAATACCAGATTATTTAAATCTATATAATATGGTTAGTTATAAGTAGTAGAGCCACGCTGCAGCTTAACTATAGTTGTAGCACGAATGGGTTGGCTCAACCGAGGAAGGACCACGCTCTTACAGAATACCAGTGTAAAATAATAGCTTAATACTGCTGTGTTTCGTATCGTCTGTGTAGAGAACCGGAGACCTTTTTTAGTGGAAACGAAGCATTCCATCTTAGTCCCCAGGGGTGACAACGCATCTGCGTTTTGATTCTTAATCGAGGATACATTTAGATGTCTATGAGCCACAGCATCCACTTACCATCAGGTGGAATGTGTGCTCGTTTGTCACCCTTATACTACAAAAAAAAGGTGTAATTTCTATAGTATTAGGGATTTTTGTAGCCATAAATATTAATGTATAAAAAATTATGCGTGCTTATGTAATACCTTTTATATACCACGTTTTATGCAATGAAATATTATTATTGAATGAGGGTGACAAACGAGCACACTGTCCACCTGATCGCAAGTAAATACTATAAGCCCGTAGACATCTACATCTACCATTGATTAAAAATGAAAATATAGATGCGTTGTCACCTCGGACAACTAAGACGGTATGGCTCGTTTCCAGTAAAATGTATCGCCGGTTCTCTACACTAAACATACGAAACACATCAGCTTTTTTGAACTGCTATTTCACTATGGTATTCTGTAAGAGTGTGGTTCTTCCACGGTCTTCTGTAGCCTTTGTACAGTTGTCACCTTTGAAAACTAAGATGGAATTCCTCAGAACCTGATATTATATTGGCTCTTTTACCCTCCAAAGCCGGACACAGCATTTGAAGAATTGTTGCTTGGCTACAGAAACATATGTGATACTTTACTTAGCCTAGCATGCCTAACTAAGTGTTATCATAATAATATAATTAATCATAATAAGATAATAAGATAATTAAATATCATAAAAATAATAAATAATCTTTGTGTAAAACATGGTACTTAGCGCTCTTACCCACTAGCGGTTAACCGCGGGGGCAGCTAACCGAGTGGTTAGTTTTCCAGTTAAATATGCAACTGCTTGTACGCAATTAACCACCAACGGCGAGACGCCGATGTTTGATGTTTGTACGCGTTTCGAGATTGAGCCTAGAACTTGGACACAGAGAATTTCATTGTTGAAATTCAACAACGAGAAGCTATTTGAAATTTTGAAGTAGTATCATATAAGAATAGAAATTTAAAACGGAAACAATGTAAAGGATGAATCCAGTGTCTTTTTTTTTTCTTTTTTTTCCATTGTTGTTTTCGGGAGTAAAAATAAATAACAAGCTACATCGACGGCGTCCATTTCGTTTATGGCATTGTTGGGCCATTGAGCGATATAACCACTTTCGCGATTTCGTCGCGGTTTCATCGCGGTTGGCCGCCATAGCGGTCAGCCGCTATTCCAACCGCGTCAGGTGGCTGCCCGCTCAAACGAACCGCCTATGCGACCGCTAGTGCGTAAGGTGCCTAAATGTTGTTACCATGTAAAAACGAGCGCTCATGTTTTGCATATTTTACGTAGCATGCAAATATGTTTTAAAGAATGTTAAATATGTCCTATGCTATTTGAATTTATATATATATATATATATATATATATATATATATATATATATATATATAATCACATAATTTAATAAAAAATATAGAGAAATAAAATAATTTGTTAAATCTCACTCCTGATCATCAATTTCAATAGTAAAAACAATGCGCATAAAACTGAAGATATGTAACAATATTATAACAATAATTTTTTTTCTTAGTTCTTGATTCTATGTTAGATGAAAATTGACTTTCAATAAGTGTTATGTAATACTAACATAGTAAAATTCCTGTTCGAGTAAACCGTTACGAAATAATACATTCCAGGCTACTACCGCGTGAACTACGACAAGAGAAACTGGGAGCTCCTGAATCAGGCGTTGAAAATGGGGGCCTTCAGGACACCTATCACAAAAGCCCAACTCATCGACGACGCGTTCAACTTAGCCAAGTCCGGACAGCTGGACTACAGCTACGCGTTAGGACTAACCACTTGCGTGATAAATGGCGAGGACTCTAAGGTCGTGTGGGACCTGCTACTAAACAACATGGCATTTTTGAAACACAACCTTAAAGCTACGTCGGGCTATATTTATTTCCAGGTAACATGATGTTTATATATTGTAAAAATACCCGTAGTACGAGCGGCACACTGAAATGATCGGGAATAAGAAAAACGTGATGCAACTGTATAGCTAAATTGTATTTTATTGTTTTTCAAAGTATTCTTCGTTCAACTTAATGCACTTTTCCATTTATGCAAACCAATCATTAAAACAGTAATTCCAGTCTGAAGTTGATGTTGACAAAATGACTGATTTGTACGCTTCGACAGCTGCTTCGGGGTCTTCAAACCGTTGACCGCGTTATAAATCTTTCATTCTAGGGAATGTAAAGAAATCGTTTGGGCTCAAGTCAGGACTATATGAAGGATGGAAGCTCAACGTTTCCTGCTTCAAAAAATCATTTGTCTTCCGAGCCGTATGGGAGCTCGCATTATCGTAATGTAAGATGAAGCAACTTTTCGGGTTATTTTTTCGGAGTGCGGTTATCATTTCTGGCAAACAAACCGTGATATACCACTTAGCGGTAACCGTACTGCGTTCCTGTAAAGGAATTGTAGCAACATGCCCCTTTTTCGAGACAAACGTAGCGACCATTTTCTTTGACACGCTGCGGGAGCGAACCACTTTCGTTGGTTTGACCTCGTCTTCGAAGACCCAAACTGCTGACTGATGTTTTTTCAGGTTCGTATGAATAAATTCATGATTCGTCACCTGAGACGATATTATAAATGGCATTTGACTTCCCTCCGTTGAAGCGTTGCAGAGTATTCCGGCACCAATCTACACGAGCCGCCTTTTGCTCTTCAGACAAATTGTGAGGAACCCAGCGGGAAACTAGCTTATACACGGCTCATTATGTAATATCGACTGAATTGCAGACATTTCGATACTGATAACGGCCTGAATCTGCTCGTATGTCACATGACGGTCATCTAATATAATAGTTCGCACAGCTACGATGTTTTCATGCGTGAGCGCTGTTCTTGGTCGACCTGCAGAAGAAACAGTGCTGACACACGACCGCGTCGAAGCTCGGCAAACCAGAGATATATTGTCGTTTGACTCGATGCTTCAACATCATAAATCGAAACAAGTTCCCTGAGACATTTATCTTGAGATAAGCCGCGACGAAATTTGTGATAAATTATGGCACGGAAATGTTGACGTGTGAGCTCCATTTCTGTTAACGACATGTCAACTTAAAACCAACATAGTTTTTTTTTAAATATTTTTTTTAATTGTTTGAATGTCATTAAGATTCTACGAGGCTAGTATTCAAATTCTAAAAAAGGTTTTATTGTAACGCAATCCGAAATATTCTATTACCGATCAATTCAGTGTGCCCCTCGTAAAATAAACAATAAGGTATGTGAGAGTAATACGGTCACTTTAAGCCTTGCCACCCTATAAAACCAAAACTAGGAACAGGAGAGAGACAAAAACACAAAGTCCTATACTTACAGTAATATAACAAGAAAAAAAAACAAACAAGTTTTGGCAATAATTAGGAACACTTCGAAAAATCTATTAAAAAAAAACTAACTACATCATGCTAAAATCGACTAAAATATTTACTATTATGTCAACTGGAAAAATGGCGTCGATAATGCAGCGCCCTTTTGGCCCTTTATTATATGATTTACCGATGAAGAGCTATCGTATCACAGAGCCATCTACGCAAACAAGGCTGTAATTTTTGAGTTATAAGAAAGTAACCATATTGACTGGATGACCATAATACGCTTACGTACTATATTAAAATTGTGTTTAGCAGTAGATTTTAATAGGCTGTAACGGTAATTAAATTAATTGTCTATAGGATTACATGAAAATAATCCTGAGTAAGCAGCTGGAGCGGCTGAACTATGGGATGGACAAGCCCAAGGATGACAACGAAGCGTTCCTCATTGAGAACTTGGTGATGTGGGAATGTCTTGTGGAGTCGACGCGCTGTCTAGACTGGGCCGCAGATCTATTCCACAAGTGGATGAAGCAAGATGACCATTCCAACAACCCGTGAGTCTCTTAGTTTTACAAATTTGATAAAAATAACAAAATATTACGCGATAAAATCCGTAAAAGTAGTTTTAATCAATGTGTAGTGTTGGCGTAAATATAAGAAATCATTATATAAGAAATATGTTATTTTCCCTCCAAGCTATCCAAGTTCAGGAAAAAGTAGAAGGATGACGAATGAACTTCCAACGCCAGCTCTGGTAACTTGGAGACCGTCTGTTGTGCAGTATGAGGTCGTGCGTTGTCAAGCGGGAGCAGTGGGGAAGAGCGACTGACCAAAGCTGGTTGGCGACGTCCCAGCTTTTCCATCATTGTGTTCTGTTCTTCACAGTACACATCTGCAGTAATGCTCGTCCCATTGGTAAGAAGCTGTGATGAATCACAACGGCGCTAAACCACCAATCAGTGACCATCACTTCAGGGGAAAATTTTCGTTTAGAGCATTTTTAGGCGCTAAACTAGAATCCGAACAACTTGCTGAGCGCTTACGATTGCCAAACAAAATCCGCTTTTCGTCGCAGGTAAAAATGCGATTCATAGTTCCTTCGTTTATATTCCTGTTTAGCAGTGCAAGGCACGTCTCGACGCGTACTTCGCGCTGGCGATCGTTGAGTTCGTAGGTTAGCAATATTGTATTGTTTATAACGTCGAAAGGTGCTGCTAATTCAACCGTAGATTGAATAAAAGCTTCCACAATCGCCTTTTTTTTTCTTTTCTATCCCGCTAACACAGCAATCTGTCTGTGTCTAGCTGTTTCTTTAAGCAGCGGAAGTTGTCCATGACCACTCTCACTATTCTTTGGTGAATCGTTTCATGAGATTTGGAACGCTATTCCTTCTCAGTCTTGTGTACATGGTACTTCCAGAACCCATTAATTTAGCAGCCAGAGCGTTAACATGTGAAGTTAATTTTTGTTGGTATTTTAAGCTTCGAGCAGCGATTTTTTGTTTCACAGTGTTGAGCCTCAAGTCGTGCGGAATATATTTATTGTGAAAGGATTTTGGAATGTTGACCATAGATCTAATGGGTGCGTTTGGCAGAAAAAAGCGCTAGCAAGCGCTTGTAAGCAAAATGGCGATCGTAAGCGGTAAGCGCTGTCAAATCGTAAGTAGCTATTTTCCTCCAGGACACGATGTTAGTTTTAACCGGGGAACCTTAACCTAATTTAAATATATGTTTGTAAAGTATTCATATTAAAAACTTACCAATCATGAATTTTTAATAACATGTATATGTCTATTCATGTCATTATATTACTTAAAACTAATTTTGCACAAAACAACTTTAAACTCTACTTCAAAACAAACAAATTAAATAAGCAAAATGGCGGATTGTGTCAGCGCTACTGAAGTAGCAATCGTGTCCTGGCCGAAAACTATTTTAGCGTTTGTAAGCGCTTGCTAGCGTTTTTTTCTGCCAAACGCACCCAATAGCTTTAGTCTGAAAACTTTCCAGGATTTCTATGTTGCTATTACTTGCTGTTCCGCAAAGTTCTATTCCGTATGTCCATACTGGCTTCAAAATAGTTTTGTAAACTGCTATTTTACTTTCGTTTGTTAGCTGAGACTTTTGGCCAACCAGCCAATACATAGATCTTAATTTTGCGTCAACAATCGCTTTTAATCCGTGATAGTCGACCAAAGTTTTCGAACGACCACGGTTTCATATTTCAGGTAGAATGTCTAGAACGGAAGCGAGCAAACGAATAACAGGTAGTGGTGCGTTCGTTTGTAGTATTCGCTCCGTAAACGTCGTTTATGTTGCGTGCTGCTTGTGCAACGCGGCTGCCACGACGGTACTCAAATTCCATAATTACTCGAATTTTTAACCTATCAATGACGTGGGAAATGATTCCAATGTAAGCAAATATAAGGCTAATAAATAAACAAATGACTTATTTAATATATTTAATACATATGTTTATTATATATTTTCATGTTTTTATGGCATATGATTAAGTTTCTTTGCTAACAGCATTTGGGTCTGCCAATACACATAGTACAGTTTACATGCAAATACGAAATACGACGATACAAAAAAAAATTATATTAATGTTACAGCCTTATATGTCAGAACAGATTTTTTGCATCATAACTGAGAACAATCTTCATAAAGTCACCTTTCAACCAAAAAAAGAAAAATTATATCAAAATATGTCGGGCGCTACGATGCCTCAGATAGACACGTTAAACTTATAACACCCCTTTGCTTACGTCGGGGTTTAAAATATAAGATTGTGTAAACTTAGTTTTATCCAATGTATTTGTAAATCGTTTTCTATCTTGTTCTAGGATCCCGAGCCACCTCCGTTCTTTAGTGTACAACATGGCAATCAAGCATGGCGGTCGACGGGAGTTCGAATTTTTATGGAACTTGTTCCAAAACTCCACCGATCCCAACATCAAGACCATGATCATAACTAACCTGCCCAGTACCAGGGAGGAGTCCTTAATTTCTTTGTAAGTTCTTTTTATTTTATTCATTTATACACTTTATTCTACCAGCCAACGATTCCTAATAGATTTCAAAAAGGAAGAGTTTATTAATTTGGTTTAATTTTTAATTTTTTTAATGTATGTATATAAAACTTAACCACATTCAATGATGATATCATTAATAAATTGGCTAAAAATGATTGTTTGACTATAGAAACTATGACGTCATAAAGCGTAATTCAATTGACTGGTGTCAAATAATAAATATCCAAGTTTTTTTTTAAGTTTTCAATTCGGTTGTATTTTTTATGTTTGTTACCTCAGAACTCCGTCATTTATCAAACGATTTTAAAATTATTTTTTATTTGAAAACTTTTGTTTTTAAATCTAAATAACTAGAAAAAAATTTCAACCATGTTAACGTTCAGTAATGTTTACCTCCATATGTTTAGTCTCCATGAAGTCGGTCTTTTTGTATTTTATTTAATATTTATTAATATATTTTAATATTTATAAATATACAGATCAGTAAATTTAATAATTGTAATATATTCCATAAAAGTAAATTTTATTAGGTAGTTTCATTGCATTTCATAAGTGTGGAAAGTGTTCTTGATATATGTATATATATCCATTGCATGTGTACATCGTAATAAATAAATAAAAATGAAAAAGTGGTAGGGAGGATTATGGCGTCCACTGCGTTCTACTAGACCGGCAATTCATTACAAAACTGTGTCACACTTGTGGATCACGCAGGAGCCAGCTGGTCGGGTATCCGGTACGGTAAATGTGCTACGACGTTCTATGTGCATTTACTGTATTAGGCAAATACGAAATAAATTTGCATACATATCTGAAACTTCAAAGTCACTTTTTCTTAGTTACATTAACCAAAATCAGAGTTAGATTGTCGAAAACAACGTTCGCAGTTAACAAAACAAACAACTAGTATTTTCTGCTGTATCAATATAAGTATCTATCTGAGAATATCTAAAAGTATCTGCGGAATAAATAATAGTACTATGTACAGAAGTTGCACTCCTTAGATGTTGACTGCTTGCCGACGTTTAATAGCCTACATAATTATTATTAATTAGGTAAATCACACACGCAAGCTAAATGAAACTTTATCGCTGCGCGCTAGTGTCCATATTACTTTGCATCTTTTCGCCTGCCTACGTCACGGCGGACTTTACGTGGTTACTAAAGGTGCCAATAAAGAGTAAAAAAGTGCATTGCGAAATGTTAATTAAGTTACTTAGGTAAAGTATCTATTCTGACTACGATCGACTGACCATATTTTCGCACTTATGTGAGTTCTGCAATGCCCACACGTGCAACTTGCAAGGCCATTCGTCGAAAATCGCGATTCTTGGCTTGGAAGAAACAACAAATAAACTTCTAATACGATTCCTAACAGAGATTTGATCGTATTCTGCTTAGTTAAAAGTCTTGTTAGTAAACAAAGTATTCATTTCAGTATTTTGTGTTCCTATAATTTAAAATATTTTAATTACTAAAGACAGGTATAGGCATGTATGTAGATACTTGGATAGTAAAGTAAATTTCAACTGAGTTTTGTAATAAAGTACGTAGGTGTTACTTCTGTAGATAATTATTATTATTCTTTTTTGCTATGATAGATGATAGTAGGAACGACTTTTTTGCCATTACAACTCATCAAATAGCTAATATACGTTATATATATATATATATATATATATATATATATATATATATATATATATATATATATATATATATTCCCTTAGTCGCTACGGGTTGATATGGGATAAGTAAAATATAAGAACAACGCTACGTTGTGCGCGCTGCTTGCTACCGTGAAAATATATTCAAAATTCAGCAAATAATGTGTCGGTCCGAGTTACCACCAGTTAGTTCTCAACCAACTCTTAAAATTGCGATAGCATTCTCAGAAAGTGTGATCCCCTCTAGTACCAAAGAAGTAATTAATATCAATTTTAAGTGTCGAGAGGGACGTCCTAGCTGAAAGTGTATCAACCAAGTTGGCGATATATTGAAGATGGGCTAGATGAAGAGTACCTTTAACCGACGGGTATGTATGCGTAGGTATATAGATGTAAATGGAAGTTCGTAGTCTGTGCCTACCCCTGTGGGTGACAGGCGTGAATGTTTAAGATTATGATTATGATTTAAGTGTCAATTAAACGCATGCTTGTCTCTGAAACTTTATTTCGATGTCTGAAGTTCGACAATAGGCACTGGAGCAATACAGCGACCAAAATGTTCTATATCCCCTTCCGTAGTGAAAGTAGGTCTGTGCCCAGTCATGGGACTAATAGGGATTGTAACATTTCCTTTTAATATACATCTTTAGGCTTATTTTTTATAGAACAAGAATGCCAAGCGAGCACTGTGTTTCGTATGGTGAGCATAGAGAACCGGAGACCCCTTTTTACTGGAAACGAGGCATTTCATCTTAGTCCTCAAGGGTGACAGTGCATCTACATTTTGATTCGTAGTCAAAGATAGATGTAGATGTTTATGGCCCCAGCAACCACTTACCATCAGGTGGTCTGTGTGCTTGTTTGTCACCTTATCCTATTGAAATACATCGTCACCCTTAAAGACTGAGATGGAATGAATCGTTTCCTGTAAAAAGGATCTCTGGTTCTCCATTACACTAACCAAACGAAACACAGCAGCATTAAGCTACTATTTTACGCTTATATTCTGTTAGAGCGTGGTACTCCTCCGGTCGTGCCGACCTATTCGTGCTATAACCATAATATAGCTGCAGCGTGGCTGTACCACGTATAATTGTACTAGTACTGTTTCTCACAGCTTGCTGGAGAAAAGCCTGACAGAGATCCCGAAACAGTATGCGGTGGCTGTGTGGAGTGTGAGCCCACCGCTGGGCACGAGGCTGGCGCAGCGGTTCCTGCGCGAGCAATTCTCGCGCGTGTACGGCACGTTCGCGCGCCTGGACGCCTTCATGTTCCCCGCCGTGCTGTCCGGCGCCTTCGGCTTCATCACCACGCAAGACGAACTCGACGCGGTGAGGAACACACCCATTCCCAAATTTCGCCGCGAGAATATTACCTCTTGAGAACGTTTTTCTGATTCACTATAGTGGTTTTTTTTTATTTTTAGCACCTATCACATGATTTCCACACGTCCCGGGTTGACTGCGCGAGAATGCCAAAAGGCATTACGTCCGCTCTTTGTAATCCTTTTCATTAAGGTTTACAACAAATCATAAGTAAATTAAAGTGTACTAAAATAAATAACAAAGTCAAGCCAAAGAAGCAATTATGCAATACTTGGTGACGGTACTCCTTTCCTGCCTCGAAGTCCGTCTATGTGGGGCCAGCCATGTGGATTACTCTTAGTTTATTTCACCGTGAGTAAAGAGGAACAGACCCATTCACGGACCTCCTCCACGAGAAGATAGCCCCTTGAGAACGTACACTAACTAAGTAAGAAATTCAGAGCGCTGCACACACTTAAACTGACAAAAAACCAAGCCGTATGTAAGGTTTTACATTAATCTGGGTGGGGCCAACCCTATGAGTTCCTTTTAGTTCACCATTGGTGGCCAAACAACGATTACAAAGCCCCCCCCCCCCTCTCAATAACCAGGCGGGAACTCCGACGGGGAGATGGTTACCCCTCGCATCTACTTATTATTATTAGCCTGTACCCGGCGCGTCGCAGCCGCAGAAAAAAATTGTCGAAGTATTGTTTAAAATTTTGAAAAGTTATACAGGATGTTAGTGTAAACACCGTTCTCCTTGAAACCAGTGGTTTGAATTTACGTTCTATAAGTAATACCACTGGTTTCAAGGATAACGGTGTTTACACTAACATCCTTTATTGTTTTATTAGAAATGATAATACATTGGCTGAAGTTTAAGGGTATATATAACTTCAAAAAAAAATATGTCCGCACGACACACGCCACCTACTGTAAATAAATTGTATTATATCTATAACCTTCCCGCAAGTGCACGTAATAAATTGACAAAGTTTTACCGCAATCTGACGAGCGGTGTAGCAGCGCATAAAATACGAACAAACAAACATTTATTTTTATATCTTATCTATACAAATAAATAAAATTGAAGTTTCTGTTTGTAATGTCAAAATAATAAATGCATATGACAAATATACGGTACTAATAACAAAAAAACAATGTTTTAAATTTTTGTTTGTCTGTGTTCCGGCTAAACGGCTGGATCGATTTTGACAGGACTTTCACTAGAAGATAGCTGTTGTTATAAGGAGTAACTTAGGCTACTTTTATTTTAGAAAATGAATTAGGGTTTCGGGCAATAAAACTAAACGCCTGGACCGATGTTCTTGATTTTTTTCTATGTTTATTTGAGTGGGTCCCTGGATAGTTTACATTCACAATTGGGCCGGTAGGTGGCGCTGTTAATGATATCCAGATATTTTTTATAATGTCGATTGTTATGAGGAAGTTCTGCTGCCCATCTCTTGTCAGTTTCCCCCTGTCGCCTCTTATAACACCCATGGAACAATATGGGCTAGTGGATACTCTTACTTATTTGCTGGTAGAGCAAGGCTCGAATCACGAAAGCACGAATGGGTCAGCTTGACCGGAGAAATAGGCTCTCACAGAATACCAGCTTATCGCTGATGTGTTTCGTATAATGAGTGTAGAGAACCATAGAACCTTTTCAATAGAAACGAGGCATTCCATTTTATTCCCCAGTGACAACACATCTGCATTTTGATTTCTTATTGAAGATATATGTAGATGTCTATGGGTCCAAGTATTAATTTACAATCAGAGGGGTAGCTCATTTGTATGCTCCCTTATTCTATAAAAAAAAAACTAACAATTACAAATTATGGCACATATTATTTAATTTATTTTTATAAAACCAAAATCTGAAGTAATCTCGTATTGAGTCTCCATAACAAGTTGCATTAAATTACTTTAATTTTGTTCCAGTTGAAAAGCTTCGCGAAGCAACACAAAGAAGAACTGATACCGATGTCGCAGACGCTGCAGAAACTGATTGACACCGCTACACTGAGGATAAACTGGGTAAAGAAACACGCAGAAGAAATCAATCTATGGTTCAAGAACTATGTTACGGGTAAGTTATTTATATAATCCGGAATAACTGGATTCTATCAAGCTCAGTTGGTTATTTTGTGTTTACTATGAAGACATCAATATCTAATTTCAAAAATTTTGTATTTTTGTATGTCTTGGAATCTCTGAAATGGCTGAAAACTTGATCTACGCTATTTTTATCACGTAAATATTTATTTGGTGATATTGCACAACATTAAAGAGAACAAAAGTTTCTAGCAAAATTGTTTTCATTTGCATTTTTACACAAAAAAGGTCCAAACACTTTCTCAAGTTTTAGAGCAAAATCGATTCTTAACATTTTTCAACCGACTTCAAAAAAAGGAGAAGGTTGTCAGCCCAACATTATTTATTTTTATGTGTGTTATCTGAGAACTTCTTTCTAGTTGAACGGATTTTGTTGATTCTTGTTTTTTTTTTTTGAAAGCTGGTACTTCTCTTGTGGTCCCTTATAAATTTGATCAAGATCTGACCAGTAGTTTTTTAGTCACCCTTAATAATGCCTATTTATTTGACTTCGACTACATTGATGATGTTCTCATTTTATTTATGTTGAAGTTGGTTCTACAAAGTTTTTTAACTCAACCACTTTTTTGACTTCAACAACATTAGACAACAAAACTTGGACGAGTCTTGAAGAATATGGTTATAAATACTTCCGTAGAAATTAACAAATCTTCAATTTTTGTTTTGACAATTTTCCCATATCGCACATCGTTTTCGAGATAATAGCGAAAAAAAAACTGAGTTTACAATGGTTATTCGATATATGAACTACGTTCCCAAAGACCCACTATTATATATCCGCAAGTGATTTACCATTTAGTGGTAGTATAAGAATATCCTCTACCCCATATCATCCCGTGGGCGTCGTGAAAGGCGACAGAGGGAATCTGAATCTGAAAAGAATCGGAACGATTACCAAACGTTGAAACTATGTCAAATAATCCCCATATGGGACTATAGTGGAGGTTCTAATGGTAAGTATTCTACGCGGATGAATTCGTGGGTAAAAGTTAGTTATAAACAAGAGTTCTGTGGATTTGTTGAGAAGCAAAAATTTTACAATAATTATCTAGATTTTTTCGGAAGGAGAATTTTAAAGAATACGAAGAATAGAGAAGGCTAAAGTCTGACAAATATAACATCTATAGAGTATTTCGGATAGGGAGAAGAATGGAAGTTCAAACGCGACTAAATCCCTTTTCACTAGTCGCGTATATAAATTCATCGCCGTCGTCCGGTAGATGTTTTAAAGGCTTCTATTGAAAATGCCTTTCGACAGTTCTATTTATTTAGCTCTCTGGCTGTTAAGCTCTTGCTTGGTAGAGTTCAGTCACATACACACCGTACAGAAGAATTATATACTAGATGACCTCTTTTACCGTCTGTAAAAATGTTAGGATGTAACATGTGAACGGAGTAACAAATAATAAAAACAAAAATTTTGAGTTAAATAAATAAATCAATTAAAATCTATCGAAATTCAAATCGTATCGACCCTACTTTACGAACGGCAATAAAACAATAAATTGAGTAGGCATCTTTGACCTTGTTACTTCGCAGGGTAGACATGATTTTATTTAAACCAAAATTTTTGTTTTTATTTTTTTGTAAAATATCGGTGCCATAGGCATATACTCCGCTCACATGTTACACCCTATTTTTTCCGGACGGTAAAAAAAGTCATCCAGTATATAAAGATAATACAGAGCAAGATCAACAGAATAGCCGGCCCAAGCTAGGGCGAAATAGCACAATATAGAAACAAATGGGCTTCTTTGTAGGAGCCCTTTACCCGATGTGGAGTTCTTGCATAAAACAATTGGTGAAATTAAAAAAAATTATACAGCCGATTAATATAAATAGAATGAGAACATCATCAATGTAACCGAAGTCAATGAAATAAGCATTATTAACGATAACTCAAAAAGTACTGGTCAGATCTTGGTCAAATTTATGTAGGACCACACAAGACGCACCAACTTTTAAAGAATCATCAAAATCGGTTCATATAGAAAAAAGTTGTGGGGTAATACATGAAAATACAGTCGAATTGAGAACCTCTCCTTTTTTTGAAGTCGGTTTTCTTTATAGGATAGGGTGACAAACGAACACACAGTCCTCCTGATGGTAGATGGTTGCTGTGGCCTATAGACATCTACATGTATCCTCGATTACGAATCAAAATGCACATGCGTTGTCACCCGTGAGGACTAAGATGGAATGCCTCGTTTCCAGTAAAAAGGGTCTCCTGTTCTCTACATTCACCATACGAAACACAGGAGCATTAAGCTACTATTTGACGCTGGTAACCTTTGTTGAAATTTTTGAAATTGGTTGAAAATACCTAACAAAACAAACAATAGATGCGTTTTTTTTAAATATATAAGTTGTGTTAGTTCACAAGCTCTGCTTGCTTGGGACTAATGGCGTTGTGTAAAAAAAAAAAAAAAAAATGAACTAAGTTAACTAACTAAATAACATATCTACTAGAAATAAGATAACCATGTTATAATTAAAGGAATAAAAGGCTTTTATTCATTTATTTGGCTACATTTATATACTAAGCCCTAATATATATATATATAATTAGGGCTTAGTAGATAACAAGTGGTAAAGTTATTTAAATTCTTATTTTCAGGTAATTCTACCTCACATACAGAAGTAATAAAAAAAGGATCAGAGCCGTTGCTCACACAAAACATTACCTTCAACATTTCGACCAAAGCTACGGGGGCTAATGACACTCTAGTGACAACAGTTAAGACCGAAAATGTTACCAGTAACCCTAGTCGTTAATAGGTTTTAAGTGATGCAACATTTAAGTTCCTTTTTAAATTAGAGTATTATATATTTGAATTTGCTAACCCTCTGAATGACAAGCATAAGTGTTTATTTTAGTATATATATGTTTGTGTTATGAATGCAATCCATTTTCATTATGGCAACATATAAATGAGAATAAGCTGACAAAGAATGCTAAGAGATATACAGAACTAGTACTAGAAGAAAATAAAATGCACCTCCCAGCTGAACTCTATCATTATTTATTGGATTTTGGTTGAGGTGTGCATAGTACTTTTTTAATTTTTTCCAGTTATTAGCTACATTTTTCTACCTTATAAAGATATTTTTGTTTTTATTCGCTTACCTTATAAAATATTTTTGTTTTTTATTTATTTTTTTATACTTAACCAACTTTATCTCGGGTTCACATACTGTTTGTTTATTGCTTTGTATAGTAAGCGAGACAGTGTGATTGATATCTGATATATAAAATTTCAAAGCAATTAAAAAGTCTTAAATCTATGAGTCATATTTCGCCACTTTATACCATGGGAATGGTAACACTTTTAAAATGTAATTACGAAAACAGATATTTAAAATTACTTTTACAGCGTTACTAATTAGAAGTTTTACTTTTCTCCTAGTGTACTTACTAAGTGTGACAGTAATTAAGAAAATAAAATAATATAATTATGAGTAATTTTTAATGTATTTTTAATTAAATATGGTATAAATGTGTATTTGTAAATAACAAAACGGCGATTGATATATGGGTGCTATATGATATAATTTAATTATATAAATTCATTTTTGGTCTACGCCGGCTTATACTGTAAAAAAAAATTTTTTTGTGTAATAAGTATTGTGAGTGTATTGAATGCCCATCTACTATCATTATTAACAGTCCGCTGGGTACTTTGCCATTAAACTCCTCCAAAAACTTTGCAATATGATGTGTCAATATTGTTTAAAGGGTTTTATAAATAAAGTACACGTCAAACTAGGTTGTATGATCTAAGACCTTTGTCTGCCTTTTTGGCGAATTGTAACAACATAATAGCGAGTAAAGAAACTACATTAACTTATTGATCACCATGTTATCAAAATAATAGCTTCTAAGATAAATATCAATTACTCTATGAAATTGTATACATGGATATCGCAAAATGCCAGCTGTCTATCTATAATTTGTTTTAATATTATGTTAGTAACGACACGTTTAAAATGATTCGTTGATTATATTTTCAGTGTTTAAAAATCCAGTTTTTTTTTTTTAATATTCTTGTAGGCTTTAAATGTGTTTTGTTATTCATTACACATTATTGAACGATTAGTACAACGTAAATATGTTCTTAAATAAAACTGCAGTTATTTTCAGACAAAGAAAATAATTTCTATTTTAAAATATTATTTCGAATTCATGAAGAACTGATGATGATTATAAGAATTTTAATGTTACATAATATGTTTCTTTAGTGCAATTGTGTTCAAATAAAATGGTCTATGAGAAAAATAAAGGTTTTTTATTTTTGAAACTTAAATTTTCACCTAATTAAAAAAAAAAACTAAAACACGTTACATAAATAAAACATATTATGTAGAATCGACAGGCTCCGTGGCGCAGTGACAGCAATGAGTGGCTGCGTTGGGGGCCGCGGGTTCGTATTCCGCACAGAACAAGTATTTGTATGGCCTACAAATAATTGCTCCGGTTCTGAATGTTTGTCCTCGTAAAATTTTCGTTTGTAAACTGCCTCCACGATACAGGAGAAAATCCTAGTGTGGGAGGTTACATTTTAAAAAAAGAATCTACCAACGACTGAGGTTTGTCCAATGCTATAGACAGTCTACTAAAACTAAATTCTATCTCTTTCTAAGAAGGTTGCAAAAAAACAACAAAATACTATCAGAGAACTACCAGGATCACGTATCGATCGCCGATGTAATTTTCATGAAAATGTAGTTGCAGTAGGCTCGAGAAATCTGTGAAGTAAAGTGGTTTGAAGATAAACCCACATCCAAGTAACTAGGATAAAATTTTCTCTTTGAAATGTCAAAAAAGCATTTTTTTCTCTTTCATTTGGTCCCATGCTACGGACGTGGGATATACTCGTTATGTCAAACGGGGATATACGTATACTTCTTTTACCGTGCTCTCGTATATATGGACAAGATAATTTTATCTCTTGTGAGTGGATATAATCGGGGGATAAATTTTTTGTCTCCTGCCCATGCTAGGGGTAAAATTAAACATGAAATTATTTTTAATTTTCGATATATTCTCCTTTAACCCTAATATACTCTCAAACCGTTCGAATAACTTATTTATAACCTTCGAAAAAAATTGTTTGTCAAGATTCTCAAAATAAGCAGAAATTGTCGATTTCACTTCAACGTAAAACAGCAACTATACTCGTATGCCGCCGTTTTTTGTATGGTGAGTGAAGAGAAACGGAGACCCTTTTTACAAGAAACAAGGCATTTTAGCTCATTAACTTCAATTCCGGTATACGTCAACGTGTTCAAAGAATTTTCAGGTTAGACATTAGGATGGAGTGCCGTGGTATGAAAAAAGTTTTTTTTTCTTATTTTTAATTCGTAATAGCGCGGGATTAGTTCATTATGATTAGAGTCAACTTACCTTTTTTTAAACTGAATCACATCTGCCTCCGCAGGGGCCTTAAAGTTTAATCTTTTATCGAAAATTTTAGTACGATTGGGCTATATTAATAATAAATAAGAGTTACCTAGAGATTACAAATGAAACTCAATAATATAATTAGAATACTTACAATGTAATTTAATAAAAAAGTGAAACAAAATTCAATCATATGTTTTAAAAATCAAATCGTCAATTTGCCTTAAAATCTGTATTCATCTTGAATTTTGGCATTTTCTTACGGGATTCCAATTTGGCTTTTATGGCCCTTAATCTTGAATCTCGCTCAACAGCCCGGGTATGACATGAGAGACGTAAAAACAAAAGTTCACCCTCACCACCAGATTGGACTATTTTATGAATTTCTTGGTCACTTAAGTATTTTAATTTCAAGATCGGCGATTCAGTAATGATGAGTTGCCAATTTATCATATCAATGTAGGTTGTTGCGCTGAAATTAATATCAGGCATCTCGAATAGCCTCAAAGGATTGCTATATATACTCTGTGCTTTTAATATACGCTGGGCTGCCAATTCACGAATGTGCTTTTTATCATCTGTAATCATTGCAAATAGCAAAATTCTCAGGATGTGCGAAGTAGCTATTGCGTTTAATATCGGAGTCGATCACTTTTTTTAAGGATTCTGGCGGATACCTGGAGGCTATTATAATTTTAAATAGATGTCGAGCTCCATCTTTACATGATGGTTTAATCTTAATCGAGAACCAAGCTGGGGCGTAAACTTTTACGACAAATGTAGCCAGAGCAATCAAATTCTCTGATTGTTTCTCTGTTGCTACTTGCTACATACAAATGTAGAGTTCAATTCAGCATGAGATTGTGTAAAAAAGAATGTGATGATGAAATACACACATGGAGACCTGTTTGCTAGATCTTCTGGAAAAGAACTTAACTGTACCGCGTAGACGGTCTCGTGCAAGTACTATCGATCTGTGCTAAAATCTAGGGGCATTTTTGGGAGTAATTCTGCATCGATGGGTTGGAATTTTTAATCGGCATTTGTTCATAAGTTTTCAGTGTCTTTTCCAACTGATTAGTGTAAGACTTGGGTCCCGAAGTGCCTCCGTTAATATGTAAAAACAAATGCCTTAATGGCAGCTCGTTCATATGCAGTGAACAAATAATCCGTTGGAGGGGCCTTTATAGCCTTTTTTCAAGGAGTCGTATAATACCACCGTACTTTTCAGATTTTGCTTTAGTCCCATCACAACCTATTGCAACAAGATGTTCTAGGTCTCTAATACTTTCCTTTGCTAAGAACCCTGTGATTGCTGATTCTGCTGATTTCGCCGAAACAGTGCTGGGTACTACATAACCCATGTAAATGAAAACCTGGCTCCTGAATTAGGGAAATATGTTCTTTAACAGTCACTGTTCTGTAATATTTATTACCTTTTCTCGAAAATCCAATTTTTCTGAAGAGTGCTTCTTAATAGACTTGAGTAAAATTTTACATTTTAAGTGGTAGGCTTTTAACATTTGTATAACTCGTGTTCTAGTTACGGTCGAAATAGACACAGTTTGCTAGATATTTTCAACTCTAGGTGCCACAATGTGCCATTTGTGAAAATTTCACAATTTCCAGTTGCAATTCAAGTTGATATCTGGTCCACTTGTAGTACTTCATCACATCCTCACGTAGGTAAAGTGATCTCTTTAATGTCTTGGATATCACCAAAAAGGGACACTTGAATGCACTAAATGTTCTTCCATGCTTCAATCAACCAAAAAATATTGTGAAATAGATTAAAGTGCGACATTTTACATTGAAATGTAATAGCATACTGGCATAACCGACATAGCCCAATACATGAGTAAGCTAAAGTGGCAATAGACTGGCCATATAGCTCCAAGGACCGACAATCGATGGGAAGGCCAAGTGTAGGGCGACCGCCCACTAGATGGAGTGACGACCTGGTAAGACGTACAGGAAGTCGATGGAAGCAGGTGGCTTAAGGCCGTGCTTTGTTGCATTCCTTGGAGGAGGCCTATGTTTAGCAGTGGACTTCGCGTGCCACCTTAACAAGACTGTCACTTGTTTTTACTTATCTGTTGGAGTGGCCTATTTGATTGTATAGTTAACGCTTATAAAAACTTTACAATAATGAAATTAACTAACTGACGTAGTTACAATCATGTGACCTAACGTGGAGTGTCATACTAATTCATTCTTAGTTTTCTAGCGTCGAGCTATATGGCCGGCCCATTGCCATTTCACCAATTCTCAATATATCTTTGCAAATAGAAAGAATGAACTAGCTAAATTTTTCGTTAACCGTTTATCGTATGCGCTTTCTCGATTGAAGCATTCTAGTTTCCAGCTTCAATTGCTTATTGAATTTTGAACGAAAATGGCCTATAGACATCTGCATCTATCCTCGATTAAGAATCAAAATGCGGAAGCATTATCACTCTTGAGGACTAAGAGGGAATGCCTCGTTTTCAATAAAAATCCGGGTATCCGATTTTCTACATTCACCATACGAAGAGCTGGTTCTGACGCTGATATTCTGTGAGTACGTGTCCTTCCCCGATCGTTCATGCTACAATAAAAAGCTATATAAAAAATTTCTACCACGTAAAAATCAACCCTTCATCGAATAAGACGAATAAACATTAACTAAAAGTTTTTCACTGAGAATGAACCGTCTAATATCACCATTAGTTATTCTTACTTACGTTTTGAACATAATATACTTTATCCGAGTTACGTCCCGCGCTGTAGAAATTTCATGTAAGTATAAATGATTTGGAGAATTTATCATAATAACATATTCTACAAACTTCTGACTGTATAACATTGTCATCATCATCTCCTCGAATCTAACGTGATGATATAAGAGTTACCGCTAACCGCTATGGTACCTACCATTTATGATATTTGACATAGAAAACAATGTAAATATTGTTTCTCAACCATAATAATGTTCGCATTTCAAAGTACGCGGCGTAAAAAAATCAATACTCAAACGGAAAAGCTTCATACAAATTATTCATGCTTATTTGTCTATGACGCTACGAAATAGAAGAAAATTAAATTTACAATTGCAATTAGTACAAATAACATGCGATGAAAATTAAAACACAATAACTCCTGTGTATTTAATAGTATGAATTATGAAAAAATTACTCAAACCGTGCCACGTCATTTCGACCCCATAATTCGTAGACCTGGCAAGTTGTGCTAAAATCAATAATCTGCTTGTAAACAAGCAGTACATGTGGGGGAAACAAAATTAGCTGTTTTATAACGTTTTATACAAAACAATTCATGTGATTTGTTTTTATTTTGCGCTAGTGTACTATATCTGTTATATTTTTTCTGGTTTAGTATAGCTATAGTAATTATGGATACTGCCAATGTGGGATATTCGTATAATCTGCCATCAGGTGGATGGAATTACAAAATTCGTAACACACTGTCGCAGTTTAGCGATTTGTTTAGTGAATTTAACAAATACATCGCCCCTGCATATCACCACGACCGTTGTGAGAGGTACTGTATTTTTTTAATGATAAACAAAATTAGGAAATCCACCATGTACCTACATTATTAAAGAAATATCGTGCAGGATATTCGAAATATATTTTGTGAATATAAAAAAGTGTGACATATTATATCTTCAATATTGCTTATTTTTTAAATCTTGAATTAACAATATAAGTATACTGTAAAATATGTTTTCAATAGTTTTTTTTGTTTTTAGTTATTGTATATACCTAAGTAGGTATTTATCTAAGTATTTAAATTATCAGGTCTGTCCTTGAAATCTAATGCTGTACATATATTTATACCGTTAACACTTTATTGCAGGTCTGTTCCAATGAGGATTTATTCAATGCACAAAGGGGAATTTGTGATGGTTTTTATAGCCTTTTTTGCTTGTTTCGGTTTAGGCGTCTTCATAGGACTTGCAGGTAAAAAATTTACCCTACTTTCATAGTAAAAATGGTGATACACCTAAAATTAAAAGTAGTAGCTATGTTTGTCGCGTGTATTTGATTGTGAAATCAGAATGTTAAGTAGCTAACTCGTTGCTTTTTTAATTTCTTTATCACTAGCTTCTTATCAATTAGCCTTCCTCTTCTATCTTTATATTTATTTCTTAATTATAACGATTCTTTTTCTAAATATATCCTATTCCATTTAAGGTTTTAAATTTTTCTCTGAAAGTATTGTCTGTGGCAATGAATAAATTACGTCATAAGGAGTCGTAAGTCGTAACATACTTAAATATAAATAAATCCGTATTTGAAGCAAGATTAAAAAGTAGATACCTAACTTTTTAAGTGAAATCATTAACGTCAACAACTTTGCTAACCGTAGAATGGTTTTCAAAACCAACGCCTCAATTGACGAGATTTTATTCAACTTAACATAAGCAAATTTTCGATAAGCAATGAACACTTTCAGGAAGTTTTTTTGTTTTTTTGGTTTGTGGGGTGTTTTTTTTTTATTTTTTCTTCTTTTTTTTTTTTTTTTTTCTAACTTCCCCGGTCATATTTTCTTATATGTTTATGTATCCTCTATGCAAGTTACAATTTCACACTGAAAATAAATAACCATGAATAAAAAGAAATTTACAACTAATTTTTTTTAAGACAGAATCCGCTTTTTAACGTTGAAATAAATTCTAAACCAACTTGATAAGTTAAAAAATATACACAACATAAAAACTCACGCCTGTCACCCAGAGGGGTAGGCAGAGACTACAGACTTCCATTTGGCACGATCCTGACACACCTCTCTCGCCTCCTCCACGTCCATATCCTACCTACGCATACATGCTCGTCGGTTAAGGGTACTTCTAATTTGGCCCGTTTTGAATATATCGCCAATTTGGTCGATGAACTTTCGCCTAGGACGTCCCTTTTCGACTCTGCCGTTCACTTCTGCAACATAAATTTTCTTTGTCACTCTTTTGTCATTCATTCTTAAAAAAATATACAATAATGAGCTACGCATTTTTTAGGGCCTTCCCCAACGTCCACGGATTCTATTGCCGCCTCTAGTTTTTTATCCAATACAAGTGAAATGTACCGGGGGCCATTTCAATTGCGCAGTCCAGCCTTGGGCACCACGGTGCAGCAGCTGTGGCTCCTAGCTGAAATATTGACTAATAATGATGATGGTGAGATGACATTGATATAATTTAATCATAATGGAAATTTAATTTATTAAAATAAGAAAAGAAGGTTAGAATGTTATATTTTTAGTAAAACCCAAAGCAAATTCATTTGTTTTGGAACACTGTCTTGATATAAGGCAATCATAGGCGCGAACCAAATCGTGTTGTGTACTAGATTAAGCCGCGTCTGTCAGCCGCGGCTGACGGACGAGTCTGATAATTTGTTCTCAGCTTTAGACTTCAAGTCAGCAACTCTCGCCAAGTACCTACCAAAAATAGTTCATTGTGATTTAAGTATTTATATAACACGTGTCAAAGGAAAATAAAGTGTACGTGTATACTTATGTACAGATGTATAATGTATATGGGTTGTTAATATACTTTTTATAAATATAACATAATGGCGAAAGATATAATCATGGAGATGAAGTCGCATTGTTCGCGGTTATGGATGCCTTACACGATCCAGTTTACCGTCAAGTTTGCAGAGCGCTTGAAACGGCGTCCGGTAAACTTGACCTTGAATGGCTATCAGTGTGCATGACAAGTCTAATTGAAGCAAAAATTGAATTTCGCTTCTGCCGACTAATCAAGCTTTCAGCGTCATTTAAACTTGTACAAGTGTATGAGCGGTCAAGTATGCATGACGTTGGTCGGAGCAGTTTGCGGGAGACGATATGGTTTCAACTTGTGCGGCATCATGCAAACTTGACTGTTGTGAGTGGTCTGGTCTGGAGTATAGATGTACTGCAAACTTGACGCCGCTTCAAACGCGCTGCATACATGACTGCATCGTGTATGGCATCCATTAATGATAAAATGGGAAGCGAAAAATAAATTAATATTTTCATATTTGGCCAAAGCGAGCACAGCATTATAATGTCGAACCTAGCAGAAATGATCCATGCTAACATTAAATCATCTAGTAGCGTCGTGGGAAAACTAAAGATTACTCCTTTTCATCAATTGCGAGTCACGTTAGGAAAAGTTTTAAGTTAACCATCCCATATTTGCCACACTGAAATAAAAGATCCTAAACGGGAACAGGGTTTAACAATTAAGGTTCTGCGGTCATCGGTTGTCGGTTCGCTCACTAAGCGTGGTGATTACGCCAAACTTTCCCGGCTGCAAAAAATCTCATGTTCGGCTACGGGCTCAACGAGCGAATAATAATAATGACGATGACGATTGAATAGTGATAATTTATTTGAATGACTCAAATTATAAATAACAGAAAATTCATGTTCTTTAAAATTTGCAGAGGAAATATTTGACAAAAGTTTTCAAATTAGTATATCAATAGACGGCGTGCTAAGAGATCACTCTACTACTAACTTAATACCTGAATCTGAAGCTACAAATAGGTAAGAATTAATTATGTTTTATTATTTATTACGGCCGTGGTAACTCATGGTTTTGAATTCTGTAAATTTCACAGTACGAGAGAATCCCGTATTCGATCCTCGCCGGCACCAATGTAATTGGTAATTACATTTTCAAGTGCTGATTTTCCACGTGCTCACACAGAGAATTTAATATGGTGCATCTGCATGTCTAAGCAATAAAAATATTCGAGGACAATCATTTGAAGTACGCCAAATCCTTCTCATTTCCACCAATACTCTTTACTCATCATTTAACTTCTCTCATAACAGTTATCGCATAATATTTTAAGTAAAGCAATATTTTGAGGTCCGCTACAGTCCGCTATCGTACTGTGAAAACGCGGAAGACTTACTGCTCAATAACCATATATACTAATTAATAAAATTGAAGTAACTGTTTGTAATTTTAAAGTAACAGATATTCTTCTGGCTAATCGTCTAAATGGCTGAACCGATTTTGACAGGACTTCACTAACAGATAGCTGATGTTATAAGAAGTAACTTAGGCTACTTTTATTTTAGAAAATGAATTAGGGTTCCGCGCAAAAAATTTAAAACACATGAAATCCAATCGTAGTAAGTTCCACGCGGGCGAAGTCGCGGGGATCAGTAAGTGGGACAAATTTAGCCTGTAAATAATGAAAATTAAATGTTACTTCGCTATCTGCAATGCAAGTAGATTTAATACCCACTGGTGGTCACAACATTTATGAGTCATAATTTAGGATTCTAGAATTCCGTCTGCTTAATTCAGGCGCTGAGCTGTCTTCTTGTTCACTTTAATGTTTAAAATGCAACTGTATCTTTGTACGTGGTAGAGCCACGCTGTGGCTTTGTAGCACGAATGAAACAGCTCTACTGGGGTAGGACCACGCTCTCTCCAGCGTTAAATAACAGTTTAATGTTGCTGTGTTTCATATGGTGAGCGTAGAGAATTGGATATCCTTTTTACTGGAAACGAGGCATACTTCTACATCGACGACTCCGTGGCGTAGTGGCTTAGCAATGAGTGGCTGCGCTGGGAGTTGCGGGTTCGAATCCCGCACGGAACAAGTATTTATATAGCCTACAAATAATTGTTCCGGGTCTAGATGTTTGTCCTTGTGCAATTTATGTTTGTAAACTGCCCCCGCGATACAGGAGAAAATCCTGGTGTAGGGGTAACGTTTTTAAAAAGAAATAAAAAAAATACTAAGTTAGTTCTAAGGGTTGACAACGTATCTGCATTTTGATTCTTAATTGATGTTAAATGTAGATCTCTATTGGCCACAACATTACTATCAGGTGCACAGTGTGCTCGTTTGTCACCCTATTCTATAAAAAAAAACTACTGACTTAATACATTCTATATTTGTCTTCAAGAGTGACGTGACATATTTAGCCCACTTGGTTTGATTTTGTTTGCAGGAGACTATGGGCTGAGCCTATTTTATAAAAAAATGGAATTATATGTTATATCACCATAATTATTTTTATAATATCAAAGTGACTAAAGTCTAACAGCCCACCTGATGGTAAATGGCTACGGAAAGCCATGACTTCCTTCCAATTTCAGACAAAGACGACCATAAACGTGTTGTCACTCCTGAGGACTATGGTAAAATACCTTACAGTCTTTAATTAAATTAGCTCATCAGGCGATATTATAATTTATATACTATAACTAGCTTGCCAGGCAGACGTTGGTCTGCCCTTTTCTACGACCTTTTGTCGTGTTCTATTAAAAATCCTTAAATTCGAAAAAAAAAAATTGTGGCTCACTCATGGGCAAAAAAAACTATCCTATCTCTCAAGTTGGACCAAACAGCACACGGTGTGCAAATTTCATTAAAATCGGTTAAGTAGTTTAGGAGTCCATTGCGGACAAACAACGTGACACGTAATTTATATATATTAAGATTTTTAAACCAATGACAGATGAGTTTAAATAATAATCTTTGAGACCAATGACAATGTAAGTAACAAAAGTGTTGCCACCTTATGTCTCTTTAATATAAAATACAAAGCATAATGTCCAAACAAGACAAGACCCTTCAAACCGGCGCATAGCAGTGGAGTGTTCTACACTTCTACTACAGTTTAGTAGCAAAAATAGATAGAGATGGAGAGCGCTACCATTCGAGATAAAACAATAAACATGGGATAATTTTTTTTCCAGAACACAACACCTAAAATGTGAGGAACAAATATGCGAAGAAGTCTTGGTTCTACATTTAGGATCATTGGAGTTCACGCATTATGTACTTAATATCAGATTCTACGGATTAAAGGAATTTCATAAACGTTATTTTATAAGAGACATTATATTCTACGTAAGTATCACATACTACTATTTTTCATTAATTTTAAAATTTGTGTAAGCATCTTTTTGTGTAATAAGAGCCCTTGACCAACGGCGCAAATGTGTTAATTTTATCCTCCCATGATCCCCTAATCTTGTGCAGCTTTGTAGCTCCCCTCGGGACTATAAACATCGGCAATTTTTAACAAACTCGATAAATTCAGTACGAGTATATAAGGTTTATAGTAAATCTTCTAATAATAATCAAGCTAGAGTAGAGAGAGATTAATCGTCCAATTTATCACCTTTTATCGAACTTTCTTAATCTTGCAATATTACTAACGAATCGTTATTCACCATTTGTAACGGATAATTTGCACCATTTCCAACGGATATCGAAAAGCTGATGTGCTACTCCTGAAAACGAACTAATAATTATTATTGTTTAAATCTATAGTTTACTGATTAAGAAATGACACTTTTTCCTTTCAGTTTAAAACGTACAACCCCGGCTTCACACAAATGGAAACGTGGTTCAGATTTATTTTTTTACTGACAACATTCGCTGTAGCCGTAAGTTACTATTTTATTTTTATTATATATTTCTAATAATATTATTTACTTGATTATAGCCCTCACAATTTCTTTTTATGAGTCTCTATTTTTCGCATAAAGTCGTATGCAAAATTGTATTTAAAATCGTATGCCCGTAACTGACTACCGTCGCCTATGAACAACTTGAACCAGGGAAACTGCAGGTGCGTTACCGGTCTTTTAAAAAACAGTACCTAGGCTCTTTTCTTAAAGATCCGTAAGCAGGAAGTCGGTATTGATGTTATTAGTTATAAGCTCTCCATTAAAGGATGTAAAGCTTCTTGAAGGTAAATACATTTCCATCAGCCCATAAACAGTACATTCTTGGATAGGGGTCTGCCCCTGCCGTACTAAAAAGGAATTACGGAGACTATTCACATTTTTATTTTAGGTTTTTACCATATTGACTTCGTATAATATTAATACCAGAATCCACAGATATATACAAATAAATTAACGTGCTGTATTTATTTTTTAGATATTAACGTCATAGATGATAAAAACCTGCTCTAAAGATTTTAATGACCTTTTGACGCTTTTTGGACCAAAAATATGAAAAAAATGTTATTCGACGATGTTTGTTTTCTTCGTTTGAAAATATAAAAACCGTTAAAATTAACGTTATATTTTGTGCATGTTTCTATTTTTAAAGATTAATTAACAACCTGTTTATGCCTAGCTTGGTGAAAGGCCTATGTCCACTGATGGACATAGGCCTTTCACCAAGCTAGGCAGACGGACCAGTAAAACCAGCTACAAAACCAGCTAATATCGCTGTTTTTCATCGACAATCTGTTGAATCTGGGTTCAGCATTCATGGCACCATGTGAATTAACCCATTATATTTTACGCGAGTGTCATAAGAGGCGGATATGGGCAATATCAGAAAAATGTTACAGCTTTCGATAGATAGCGGTATAACCGTCGTTTACACTAGACGAAAAATACTCAGGCTGGCCACAAGCAACAGTGTCACAATTACGCGCATTTTTAAAAAAAATCAAATATCGGGAAGTTATTCTTTTTACCCCATTTTTCGAAAATTGAGTTTTCATTAAATCTTGACGTTTTGAGGTCACAGGAAGCCACCTACACAATTTTTCGATGATGTCTGTATGTCTGTATGTATGTGTGTGTGGATGTATGTCTCTTATAACTTTGGAACGGTTTGACCGATTGAAATGAACTAAGCGGATTTCCAGTGTTTCATAAAACTTAGATTTTCTGTGAATTTTAACTAATATAATTATAACTAATTCGGACCGATAGATTTTGAGAAATCTCAAAAATAAAAATTTTGAAACTGTTTTTTTTTTGAATAACTTATAAATGGCTTTACCGATCGATTCCAAAAACTAATCACCCTTTAACCTTGAAAAATCTCGTCGATCGCTGCCGGTCCGGTCAAAAGCTATCGTTAACGAAAAATTTTGAAAAAAAAATTTTTTTTAAATTACTTCGATATTTCGTATTCAACGTCATAGTTTGGTGAAATTTGGAGCGGTTTGTTTTTGAAATTAGCGGGAAGTTCCAGGGATGATCTGCAGGGTCAACCAATTTTTTTTTATAGAATAAGAGTAACTTCGTACACCACGTGATAAATATAATTCTATTTAATTTGTTTTAGTGCTGGTTTGCGCATACACTAAGGAAGTATTCCGCCCATGATTGGGCGATAGAACAGAGATGGGTGTCGATTTTACTTCCGCTGCTATTACTCTACAATGGTAAGAAACACTTTAATGTTAAACACCTTATCGAGGAATTTTAAAAATATAAAATATATAAAACACGTTTTTATAGATATACTACGGAGTTTTAAAACGTTATTCTTAACACGATCCTGTAAAAGGCGAAACAAATTTTCACAAACCATTTGCCCGTCATTATTCTAAACCTGTTTTATTGACGTATACTTAGTCAGATCATAAATTCTGTCAAAAACTTATATATACACTTTGATATATATACTTTTTGATAATTATATAGAAATTATATTGAAAGTTTTATTTACATGAATCCCCCCCCATTTTGAATACATGCCCTTAATCGACGCGGCCAATCATCAATCACAGCACGCACCACACTCATATCTATTTCTGCGGCTGCTTTAGCCAAAGATGCTCGGAGAGATTCCAAATTCTGATGAGGTTTAGCACAGACTTTCTCCTCCAAATGTTGACATATCTTATAATTCAGTGGGCTTAAATCTGGACTAGAAGAGGGCCGTCTTCATGTCCGATAAAGTCAATTCCATGGGCTTTCAACGAGTTTTGCGTGCTTCGTGGCCTATGAGCTGGTGCAGAATCCTGTTGGAATATCCAATGTGTGTTTTTTGACAAAAAGGTTCCACTGTGTTTGTTAGGGGGGTATTTTGGTACACCTCGGCACTGGTTTTTACACCTTTTTCACAGAAAAACACCTTAGTTAACCCTAAATATGAGACTACAAGCCAAACCATGAGTGACGAAGGATAATGTGCTCGTTGAACTATCAGAATACGCGTGTTGGCTTCTTCACTGCTGTGAGCATACACCTTATCATTTTGTTTATTATAACTTTTTTCGATGTTAAAAATTTTTTCATCCGAAAAAAATTTTTTCGCGGTATTTCTTTCCCGCGTACAGCCGTAACAAAGCGCGGGATCTATCCAGCCTAATTTTTTTCAACGTTCGTTTAAAAAATGTCCGGTCTTCTTACGTCTGTCAGGTCTTCATTGATCACTCTTTTGACCGTGGTTCTGTTTAGGCCCATCTGAAGAGCTAAGATTTTTTGTTCACGACCAGGATTTCGTTGGATTCACGACTTCACTGCTTTGATGATCGCGGATGTTCTAACTGTACGAGGTCGGCCGGTCCTCTTGCGATCTTCGAAGCTTGAATCTTCAGTGAATCGTTTGATAGTACGATAAATAAATTGTAGGGTTATTTTCAATTTTTGTAGAATATTGAAAATCTCTTTTGGCGCGTAACCAGAGCACTGCAATGGGATAACCACTACTCTATCTTCTTTTTTCGATCACTCCATATTTGAAAATGAATGAAAATTAATGTCTTCTTTATTTTCGGGAAGCCCAAAAGTTATTTCTTTAAAATTGGTGAAGTTTATCTAGCCAGTATGCAAATTTTTTAAGTAATACGGTTTTGACAGAACTGTTATTTAAGTTTATATAAATTGTTATTATTATATCTAAATATTTCTTATTCTATAGTATGTTAAGACTGATCTTTTTATTTTAATACTTTAAAGTATATTGTACAATTACTTCAATGTCTTAATAAACATATTTAGAAGTAACATTACCGCATTTATTATGAAAAGATATTTATTTTAATGAGAATTTGGACTAATTACTTAATACTATTAACTATGTAACAATATTTTTTTACAAATTACTTTAAGTTACATCGAAAACTACATTAAATCTCTAAATATAAACACATCAACAGAATCTAGGGATACCTTAATCCTAAATTTTTTACGAGTTTATAGATTAAAATTTTTTAGTTTCCGTAAAAAAAAATTGTATAAAGTAAGTAAGGGTAATATGGTCACCTTAAGCTTGGCCGCTCTATAAAACCTAAACTTGGAGCAGGACAGAGACAAAAACACAAAGTCGTATAATATAACTAAAATATGAAGAAAACAAATAGCAAACAATCTTTGGCAATAATCATGAACACTTCGAAAAATCAACTTAAAAAAACCAACTACACTATACAATACCAAAATTAACTAAAATATTTACTATAATTACAAGTGTCAAAATGGCGTCGATAAAGCAGCGCCATTTTGACCCTTTATTATTTGATTGACTGATGAAGAGCTATCGTATCACAGAGTCATCTACCCAAACAAGGCTAAATATTACCCTCACGTACTATACTTACAAATGGAAACCTCTTTTTATCTATTTTTGAAATTAAAAAAAAAACTCAAAAGATAAAACAAAATACGACGGCAAAATTGTAAGTAATTCGTTACGTCAAGCAAAATTAAAATTGTTCGACCGATATTTATTAATGAAAAGGGATTTAGATTATTTTTCTTTTTTTAATTTAATGTGCCGTGTGAGTTTTAAGAGTCATGTCATGTCATCATATGAGTCGAGATGAAATGTTACGAGCCGTGGGCGTGTTATAAAATGGTGCTATTCAACGCGTCGTTGCTGAGGCCCTACACGACAGCCAAAACGTAATATAACGATTGTGCTCACGTTATCGCAGTACTGGGGATGTGGCTGAACAGCACACGGGTAGTAATCATGTTAAAATGCAGACAGGATCGATTACTCCAAATGATCGTCAGATGACAACCCAATATCAGAGTTATGCAACTACTACAAATGCTCCAGTAGGACCGCCAGCTGCTGGTAAGCGACCAAACCGTGCGAAGGAGGTTGCATGAAGTTGGTCTTCATGCTCGAAGACCGCTACGTGTTGCGACGTAGCATTCGCTGTAGGCGGCTTTCGTGAACTCGGGAGCATTTGCCATGGAGTGACGATCAATGGTCTTTGGTGCTGTTCACCGATGAGACCGAGTTTGGGTTTCATCAGAATTCACGAAAAACACGCGTTTGGAGAACTCCAAGAAGAGTTAGCCGTTTTTGGCACCCTCAGGAGGTCCAGTCATGCTAAGGCGGGACAATGATGGTGTGGGCAGGAATTCTACTTGGCGGACGAATCCAGCTCGTTTGGATCCAAGGCACTCCAAATTTGAATCCAAGGCACTGCACAAAAATACCACGAAGAGGCAGTAGAGTTTATTATTGTCCCACATAGAATTCAAATGAGCCAGGAATTTCTACTCATGCATCATGTCGGCTGCTCTCCGTGACCACGATATTCAAGTTTCAGATTGGCCTGCATAGTCGCCCGACTTAAATCCTATCGTGCATGCCAGGGACATGTTACAACGAAAAGCTTTGAGAGATTTGGCGTCAAATTTGACGACGGAACTACAACTTTACAAACACTTGCAAAGAACATGGGACCTCATACCACAGCAAGACATTGACAATTTCATTTTAAGTATGAACTATCGACGTCGACGTGTAATTAATGTAAGAGATGGCAACATTTATAAGTTTTATAAGAAGAATTGAAATTTTTATATCATACTAATTTTCTACGGCGATTAAAAAAATGAACATTCAGGTATATTTAAAACAAAAATATTATGAAATGTTATTTTATTTCTTATTAACCTATCATTCTTCCATTTACTATATCCAGAAAATTCTTCATACATTTTTAGATACTTGATGAAATATAAAATATCCCTAGATTCTATTGATGTGTTTATAACGCCTAATAAGTATACGACTGCCTCGTTGGTCTAGTGGTTGTAGTAGTACGACTGCTGATCATAAGGTCTTGGGTTCGAATCCCGGGTCGGGCCAACAAAATCAACTATTGAGTTTTTCCGTCAAGAAATTCTCAGTAGCTGCCCGGAGTTAGGCAGTTGGCGGTGTCTCACCCCCGTGTCGAAAGCACCGGTGTAAAGCCGTTGTTCCTGCGCCTGAGCTCTCTCCGGTCGTGTCGGTTTACCGTCCCATAGGATTATGAGAGTGAGGGAATAGAGAGTGCACCTGTGCTTGTGCATACACTTGGGCACTATTATCCTGTCTTGTGCCAATAGCTAGCCTCCGTTGAGGCAGGCCGCCGTGGCCGAAATTCGGTCTGGAGGACATTATCATTATTATATATACTGTTTTACTTCTGAACTTTAATAGGGCGATTTAGGCTACGATGTGTTTCGCTTGTGGCGCGACGACAGCGCCGCCACACAGTTTTTATTATTTTAAGTCGGATATATGCTGCTGCTCATTATCTGTTTTTATTTATTCTCTCCTGTTTCATTTCTGAGGGGATTTAATAATATAAATAAATATTTTTTCTGCACACCAAAATAAATTCCATTTTACATATGTAAAAGTATTTACTACGCATATTTATGACTGTCGTTGGTTTACGTTGATCCTAAAAATATGTACAACACCGTATATAACTTTCCATTGACTGTATTCACAATAAATGAATTTGAATTTGTATGTACAATAAATAAATGAATTTGAATTTGTATGTACAAGAAATTCTCAGTAGTTGCCCGGAGTCAGGAAGTTGGCGGTGTCTCACCCCCGTGCCTCGGAAAGCACGTACAGCCGTTGGTCCTGCGTCTAATCACTCTCCGGTCGTGTCGGTTTACCGTCCCATCAGATTATGAGAGCGAGGGAATAGAGAGTGCACCTGTGCTTGCTCATACACTTGGGCACTATAATCCTGTCCTGCGCCGATGGCTAGCCTCCGTTGAGGCGGGCCGCCGTGGCCGAAATTCGGTCTGGAGGACATTATTATTATTAAGTATGTATACTGCAAATACTTCTATATATACCACTAGACGGGCCTTATGGTATATACAATATATTTATCATACTAAAATTATAGAAAAAGAACGATGCTGCCAATTTGAAACTCACTCTTATGTATACGTTCCTTATATGAGACTAACGTGATGATATATTTTCGTAGATTTTCCAAAGCATATTGACCGTGTAGTGGCGGTGTAAGAATATCCACTCCCCCATATCGGCCCTTGGATGTCTTCAGAGGTGACATAGTTTAAGAAACCTGGAGATGAGTGCAGTGTATTCTAAATAGCTAAATAAATGTTTTCTAAATAAATGCCAAGCGTGGCAGCTATGGCATATTTTAACACTTTAACAGAGTACTATTGAGTTATTTCCAATCTTAGATTTAATCTACTGAGAGAAATTTAAATGAGGGATGCACAGCGTACCTTTTGCTGGACATCTCTCCCGCAAATCTTTAGAGGATGCTCGAAGTTTAGTTGCTAACGAAGAAGAACAGATATGAATTAAAAATCATTTATATTCGCAACTTTTAATACAGATCCAATATTCCCGTTGAGATTGATGTCTGGTGGTTGCTTCGCTCCTTTCATCGATACCGTGTTCCAAACAACGTTTTTGGCCTTCGTCATGTTGTCATGGCTTGTGCTGTATCATGGATTGAGACAAGTGAGTGGCAATTTACTGCAAACGTTAAACTATGACCAAAATAAATATATTTATATCCGACTCGAAGGACCAATTAGCTTATAAAATCATATTGAATTTTATTACTGCTATACGTATTGTGTGACAGTGCATTTTGTATTATTCTTAAACGAGTTAAAAGGGGAAACTTACAGTCGAGATCCTCGCTTTAGTAATGCTGCGTTACTATCGCCAATCTGTGGGATTTAGATTCAGTATATTTTTGGTGGATTTTCCGCCTACAGAATTAGGAACAGTATAGTAAGATTTATTACTTTACCATCATCATCATCATTACAGCCCTTCACGAGTCCACTGCTGAACATAGGCCTCACCCAAGGTATGCCACAAAGCACGGGCCTGAGCCACCTCCATACATCGACTTCCTGCATGTCTTACCAGGTCGTCACTCCATCTAGTGGGGTTTCGCCCTACACTTCGCCTACCAGTACGAGGCTGCCACTCGAGAACCTTTTTTCCCCAACGGTTGTCGGTTCTTCGAGCTATATGGCCGGCCCATTGCCACTTACTAATGCTCGGTCGAAGTTGGACTTACCTAGTCGGACTATTTTTCCCAGGTAAACGTACTCGTCAACAACTTCGAGCTTAGTGCTCCCAACAACTACCGGTATAGGTGTAACATGGACATTAAACATGATCTTTGTTTTGTCCATGTTCATCTTAAGACCTATCCGTTGGGAGGCACTATTTAGATCATTGGCATAGTTCTAAGGTCCTCCAGCGATTCTGATATAAGGACTATATCGCCGGTAAATCAAAGGTGAATGATGTACTCGCCATTGATGTTAATACCGTATCCTTTCCAATCCAGTAGCTTGAAATCGTTTTCCAGTGCAGAGGTGAAGAGTTTCGGGGCTATAACGTCACCCTGTCTTACACCTCTCTGCAGTTGGATAGGTTTCGTGCTCTAGCATCGCTGAAGAGACTGTAGCACCGCCCAAATTTAGACGAAATCAAAGGCTTTCTCATAGTCCAAATACGCCAGGCAAAGTGGCAGATTGTACTTTTCGGACTTCTGTACAATTTGCCGAAGGGTATGTATGTGATCTATGGTGCTAAAGTCTTTTAGGAAATCGGCTTGTTCGGGAGGCTAGAAGTCGTCGAGTCTGCATTTATTATTGTTACATATCTTTAATCTCTGAAAGTTCTTCACCAAAATTTGTACTATGTCATATTGACACAACGTTTATTTCGAATTCGCGGATGTTTTTCTATACTTTTGGAGCAACAATAACGCGTCGTAAGATACAGCGAGTAAAAATATTTTAATCAGGTAGAACTACGTATTATGATAGTATTGTAGATGTGTATATTATGATTGTAGCATGATTGGGTCTACTCGATCAAAGCAGGACCATGGTTTACAGAATACCAGCGTAAAATAGCAGCTTAAAAGTATGGCAAGTGTAGCAGCTTAAAAGTATGGCAAGTGTAGCAGCTTAAAAGTATGGCAAGTGTATATAACCAAAGACACTCTTTACTGATAACAAGGCATTCTAATTTAATCCTCAGGAATGGCAACGAATCCACTTCCTGTCATCCGTTTGATTCTTAATAGAGGATAGATGAAGATGTCTATGAGTCACAGCATCGATATACTCAAGTGGACTATGTGCTCGTTTGATTAAGGGGTTCTATAAAAAGTATTTTTATTTCCAGAATGAAAGAAGTTTCTTATCTTTTTACACATTCAAAACTACAGTAGTTGGGCTCATATGGACGCCGGCAATGATTATCGCCATATGGCAAAAGTATTACGCTTACTACGATCCTACTTTCAACTACATGATGGAACCCAGCTATCCAGTAAGTCTAATATTTTATTATAACAACCATATACACATAAGTAACCAAGAACACAGCCTTAATTCTGTATAATGCGGACATCTAGTCGACCGGTGCCGGTGCGGGAAACAATGGAATTGTTTATTATAACTAAAAGAGCTGATAATATGCCTAGTAGTGCAGGATGTGAAAAAAACTTTTATATTATAAATACTATAGGTATTTACTTCAATAACATTGAAATTCCACCTACTCGAACTAAATCATGTCTCAGAAATCAAGAGAAGTATATTGAGGGGAAATTAAAAATTGTTTTCCGGTCTGGATGTGTTACTTTTGCATACTTCTTTTTCTCCATCAGCATGTAACAATCTATTACTTGTCACAAACCTCTCTAAAATCTTGTTGTTGAAATAAAGTTGAGTTTGTAACAATTTGATAGTAAATCTAAAAAGAGCCGTAGTTGCTCAGAAGAGTCGTGGTAGCTCAGATGGTTAGCGCTCGCTGTAAAATTGACAGTACGTGAGTAAACCGGGTTCGATCACCGACGGCACCATTGAAATAGATAATATTAATTTAAGTGCTTAGCGGTGAAGGAAGACATCGTGAGGAAACCTGCATGTCTGAGAAATAAGAAAAAGATTATTTCGAAAATCTGTGAAGTTCACCAACACGCATTGGGGCGCGCAGCGCGGCAGTCACTTCCTTGCCCTAAAACTCTGTGCCCAGCTGTGGGACGTATATAGACTATAACTTTAACTAACTTTTATAAGATCTAAAAGGCCTCCCAATTAACCAATGGTATCTTCCAAGCCGATTTGGATGACAACTTCTGAATGCAGTCAGAGTCTACCAAGCGGGCTGGTGATATTATGATGCTACAAGTGTCATTATAGACAGCCACTTATATAATATACACACTTATCCCGCAGACCCGTACCCACAATAATACATAACCTATAAGAACAGAGGTACATGGGAATTCAATGTTGTTGACATGGCGATAATCACAACATAGTCGAAGATGTCGAGGTCATGTGCACGTTTGCATTATTTTATATTTTGTATGCCTACTGGCGGGACATAGAGAACTTACCGTGTATTTTACTATGTATATATTGAGATCTGTAAATTAACCTATGTTCACAAAATAAACTGATTTGATTTGATAGGTGACAACGGCCACTTTTCATATCGTCGACTACTACTGTGACATACAGAAGCAAACAGCAATACAAATTTCTATACGTGGTAGTCATGCTGCAGTTATATTAGTAGTATAGTTGTAGCAAGAACGGGTTAGCTCGACTGGGGAAGACCTACGCTCTCACAGAATACCAGCGTAAAATAGTAGCTTAATGCTGCCGTGTTACGTATGGTGAGTGTAGAGAACCGGAGACCCTTTTACTGAAAGCCTCATTCCATCTTAGTCCTCACGGGTGACAACGCATCCGCATTTTGATTCATAATCGAGGATAGATGTAGATGTCTATGGGCCACAGCAACCACTTACCATCAGGTGGACTGCGTGCTCGTTTGTCACCCTATCCTATAAAAAAGAAGCATACGGAAATATCTCAAAATGTCCTCCTTATTTATGAAATATATTATTAATGTAGTTTCTTGTTTATATATAAACATCTATCTAGTGAAAAAATAGTTTTCCTTCGTAATTTTCAGATTGTCAAGATCACGTTCTTCGGTGCGATCACGCTGTATTTCCTATACTTACTTATTCTTATAATCAAAGCGTATAGTGATTTACGCCACATGCCTTTTTTTGGTAAGTTTCATAATATTCATTAAGCATTTATATGTCTTCACCTTCAATTGCAGCTTTGTATGTAAATGTTTTTACCAAAAAAAAACCCTCCACCTCTTTAAATAGATCGTGTTGTGCACAAATGATCCAAAGCACAAACTAGCTGAAATGATTCGGAGGCTCTCTTTTTCAGTTTATTTCACAGTATGAAAACTTCTGAAAATAACAATCTCAGTATCTGTATTCAATTTTCGTTGAAATTGTATACATATCATGATATTATAGGACTTCTGCCACAAGAAAGGTGCATGTATTTATCAAATCTGATAAACGTTGTTTGTTGAATCCGTTCTGCATAATACATTCCAAATTATCTCTATACGTGCCTAATCTATTAACCCCATTCTTACCATTTTATGAACAGTGTTTTTGGTAATTTTGCTATAGAAGTTTGCTGCACGAGAAACGATGAAGTTGTTACTGCATCTTCGGCATTAAAACTTAAACCTGTCAAAACCTTACCTTTACTTCAAAACAATTAGAAGTCTGTCTAGGCAAGATCTAAAGGTTATGAGGGAGGGTCTCTAGCTTTACCTCTGCTAATTTTGCTAACGTCTTCTGGGGTGTATGTGACCCAGTTACCACTTCAATCTGTTTTATTTAAATGACAGCTTCTCCATTATCATTTACGATTCTTCAGAATACCGGTTAGAACGGCATGCCGTGTAGTGGCGTTTAAGAATACTTTAGCTATTAACTGTTATACAATCCTACTTTAAGTAACTATTATTTGTTTAAATCTGTAATCGATCTCTGAAAGAAAGTGTTTGCCAAAGGGCGGGCATATGTGGCACTGAGTAGAGTAAAACACTTGAGGGTATTGCTTTATCTGATCGAGAGACAAATAAGGTATTACACAAACCTCTCGATGAACGAGCTTTAGCAGAAATGCAGAGACTGAAAAGTCTACACACAAGAGACTGACAGATCTATAGCTCATTTATCTTGAGGTTTTTTTCGTAATGTAATTGTAATTATTATGTAATGTTGAAATACACAACTCAGCATTAAAATCTGTGAGTAAACTTTATATCACCCCTTTTTTTACCCACCCTTAGGATAATTTTTTTTTAAATTTATATGGGACCAATTTCAAGGTATACCTTAACCAATAAAAAAATAATTATCAAAATCGGACTATTCTGTAATAAATCATCCCTATTTTCCAACCCTTAGGGTAATAGTTTTTTTAACCAAATTTATATGGGACCTATCCTGAGGTATCCTGTCAATTAAAAAAACAATTATCAAAATCGGACTAATCTGTAAAAAGTTACGCGTGGACATACATAAAAAAATTATAAGCGTCGACTTGAGAACCTCCTCCGTTTTCTTTGTCGGTTGAAAAACAGAACAATTTGCTCTCCGCACACATTTTCGCAGAACGCATCTGCTAAGGCTATAGAAACGGGACATTCCGGTTCGCGCGAGCCGGTTGGCAAGCCTAGTCCCTTTGTCTTTGTTGTTGGCATACTACGCATTTGAATCAAACTATTTGCTTCATACTTTGTAATGCGTACGGCAGAGTGGAATGATTTGCAATAATCAGCATCTGTCTTTACATCCGATTACAACGTGGGCTTCTTCGAGACAGAAGTGAATCATGATAATAAACCAGTTATTTTTACCACCTCAAGCTGAACGCATATTTGTCCGCACCTTACGCGCCGTACGCACCGCATTTTGCGGATGGTCTCGCACATTTGCACGTACACGCCGTACGCAATTCTTTTGTATTTATAATAATGTTTTATTTCACTAATACATTTTAACAAATAAATTAAAAGTTCCTGACTCCTTATGTAGGTGAACCTGAATCTCAGGAGCCAGCGTCTTCTCACAAAATCAATGTACAGATTTCTTATATGTTGACAAAAATAAAAATCCGTTAATAAAACTAAAATTAAAATATTAATGTATAGAAATGTGGGTGCGTGCACGTGCGTGCGCGTGTATGTGTGTGTAAACATGTACGTTCTGTAGGTTAATTGTAGTACAATTTTTTTATATCATATTTGTTATCGTTTTTGCTTTATAGGCGCTATTAATTTTGTTATATAAATATGGTACTAAGAATTTGTACTTCTTTTTATGCAAAAACACTTGTAATTGCTACGATATATATATATATATATATATATATATATATATATATATATATTTCCTATTTATTGGTTAATTTGGATATCTAATCGGTGATATCTTTTAAGACATTTATAAATAAATAGCTTTCGAACTAACAGGACTTTGTGGTTTCCTCCTAAATCGATATAGTCGGGTATCTAAAAGGTATAATACAATGCAACCTTTAAAACTGCTCTTTTTGCACGTTCTAAGTCCAGGAGAAACGTTTTAGCTGCTCCTCCCCAGGAACATATGCAATAGGTAATTATACTCTCACATAAAACTTTGTAAGTCTATACAATTAATTTAAATGTTGCAACTCTACGTAAGTCCTTAAATATATAAATTAACTTTATTACTCTCTTCGCCAGTACACTTATATGTTCCTTCCAATTTAGCCTTTGGTCAATGAGAACGCCTAGGTATTTCGTTGCCATTTCACGAGTTAAATGATCACAAGAACAATAATGAGAGCTCTGGCTATTGCATGGAAATGTACGAACTTTTAGTTTCAAGTTGATGTTCGGGCTTGTTACGGCATATTTAGAAAAACATATATATTTTGTTTTAGCAGTATTTAGCGATGGTAAACTATTATCAAGCCATATGGTGGTGACCTTACTTAGTCCGGCTTCTGATATATCAAACACTTGCTTCCATGAAGAATCCTGAAGAAGTAGAACCGTGTCGTCTGCAAACATTATGAGCTCCCCTTTACGAAGTTTTATTTTGCACAGTTCAGTTAAATAAATATTAAAGAGAGCAGGGCCGAGTGTATTGCCTTGTGGAACTCCGTAAGTACAGACAGCTTCGGTGCTCATATAATTTTCTATTTTAGTCTGTTGTGACCTTTGATTTAGATAGTCTAAAAACCAATTTAACGCAGTTCCTTTAGTACAAACATTTTCTAGTCGCTGTAATAGGATTGGATGGGACACTGTGTCAAAGGCTTTTTGTAGGTCGAGTAAAAAATCGCAATGCTTTTCTGGTCTTTATCTAAGTATTCTGTAATTACCCATGTTAATTTTAATACCGCATCTTCTGTGATTGTCTTCTAGATATTTATTTATTTTCCAAGTAATTAACAATCTTTTTTTCATAAGCTTCTCCATTATTTTCGATAATGTAGTCAGGAGTGAAATAGGCTTGTACAGTGATCTTTTATTACCAGCTTTGTATATCGGACCTACTACTGCTTTCTTTAACAGATTAGGGAAATGTCCAGTATTAAAACTCAGATTACATGTATAAGTTTTGTTAGGTAGCCGCAGAAGTTTTTTAATATCTTGGCTGTTATCCCGTCGAATCTATGTCTGTTTTTAGGCTTAAGATAGTATTTATGACTTCATCTTCTTCGGTTGGATATATTAAGAATGAACTCAGTGGTTTATTAACTGGTTTAGAATTTAAAGCAAGATCTGATTCACTTTTGCCTAAGTGATATAATATCTCACTTGCAAGATTACGCTCAACATTAAAAAAATATTCATTAACGTGATTAGTGATCCATTTGAGGTTGTATCAATATGGAGCTAATCTGTAGATGGGGAGTTTTTATGTCCCATACTACATACGTCCTTAATAATCATCCCGGTTTCCTTGGCATTTTCAGAGCATTTTTCCAAACGTTTTTGGTAGTATTCAGTTTTTAGTGATCTAAATATCTTGTTGCACCAGTTTCTATAAGAAAAAAACCTGTTCTTAAGTTGCTCATATGCGGATGCTAATTTACTCTATTTGTAGTATACATCTCTTTTTCGCAGCATTCTAACTGTATATATGGTATCCATTGCCAGCAGCTTTAGCAGTTTTTCCCAACCACTGGTGTAAAACGGTACAGTAACATTTTTATTAACGAAAGAACACAATAGGTAATATACCAATTATTACGAAAACTAAAAAAAAAAACAATAGGTAATATACATATTGTTTTCTTAATCGTTTTCGTAATAATTGGTTCCATTTATTATTACATATTTTATAATGAATATAAGATAAAATACAATTAGTAAAGTCAACATCAAGAATTTATTATTAAACAAACTCCTATTTTAAATATAATCTTCGAATAAATTACGATGTAATTTATTTGTACCAATTTGTTTCACAACGTTTATCGGAATTTCAATTTCGTTGCAGCATGTTTCTACCAATGTTCAACCGCAGCGTAGTCTTAATATGACAGTTAAAGGATTTTACTTCATTTAATGCTTGCGTTTTATTACAATTATACTGCTAAATAGTCTCTCACGATGGGCATAGGTAATTATAAGGTCAATATTAAGACATTAATCACAAAAGTCACTAATTCTTCAAATTTGGATTCCACCGGGATGGATCGTCTAACGCAAGTCTTATCTGATGACTCATTGTTGCATACGTAGTAAAAGTAAATACTCCTGAAATTAAGTAAAAATATATTTTGAACGGAAGTCCAAACCACCAGTTTTAGTGGAAAATCCACTAAGTTGGCAACATTAGTCAAAATTAAGTATCAGCATACGCCGAACTACATGACGTCATTAGCATTCATCATTCTGCGTCCTTCAATATTCGGAATTCGGATACCTACCACATTTTATAAAATTCGGCGCGTACGATGCGGCTGTATTGTGTGACATTTTATATGATTTCATACAACGAATTCTAAAATGCGGCGCGTGCAGTGCTTACAAATGTGCGTTCAGCTTTAGACTGCATCGTCACTTACCATGGATTGGGAGAGTAGCCAAACACTGGCTTATAACAGTTTTAAAAAAACTATGTAAAATAATAATATTAACATGTGTATTGTATTATTCACTCATAAGGCAAAGAAACAAGGAATTTTTCTTAAA